TTTTCAAACTAGGATTGACTTGCGAAAAGTGCCTAGGAGAGGTTGAATCAGCCTCACATACCCTATGTGATTGTAAGGTCATAGCTTATTTAAGATTTCGTCACCTTGGCCAGTGCTTCTTGGAACAAAATGACTATTATGACGCCCCCCATAAATAGAGTCCTACATTTCATCCGAAGTGTAGGATTAATATAGGGTTAATCAAAGGGGAAGCACAGCAGATCAGTGCTGATACTACGACCCACCCTCACACATACATACATAAAGAGAGGCTTATGAGCATGTAAGATCATATTTAGCAACCAGTGAGTATGAATTTTGGCCTGGAGACCGGGTCCTCCTCAGCCATAGTGCTGGAGAGCATCTTAAATGGGCCGTGATCGCATGCTTGTACTTCATTCCCAGTCGTGTCTATCCATATTCTGAGGTTTCCGTTGCCGTATTTGTTCAGATTCCTACACCTGACCAATACCTTAATGTGGTGGGGAAGTCTGCGTGCCCTTATCATCTGGGAAGATGTGGTAACACGAGCCTAAGATCTTGGCAGCCAGCCACGATAGACACAGGCCGCAAGGTAGGAGACAGAAGATAGTTCCAGCTCCTTCAGTCTGTTGGTTGGGAGTGAGGCTAACCTCATCTCAGAAAACAATACATGCTAAGAAACCTATGGATAGATGTTGCGTCATAGAAGAATTTGCGTTTGTCATCAAGGTTCTCAGAGGACCGTACAGTAAATTAGTAAGTAAGATTGTTCATATTGTTGTCCTCTGGGTTGTGATATTGCATAGACTTATAGTCAGATACCAGAGTTTCGAACGAATATAATGCCTCCATTCTCAGGATCGAAATGAATATGGAGGAGGCATTTTCCTCCGAAACGCGATGTCACAACCCAGAAGACCACGATCTAAATCCTTATTGCACTGTACGAAGTTGAGGAAGTGAAACACAGGCGATATTAACACGGTCTGGGCATAAAGCCGGACACACATTTGCGCATTCTGCTGTAATCTAACAAGTGCGTACTGTGTTACTGTATCATTCGTACTTGTTTGGTTCGCGGTAGATCCTTACTATTGTCGGTTTTCGAGCCAGCATCAAAGACTGTTTACATAATACCCTCTGAGCAGGTGTGTACGTGTTTCTGCGCGCGTCGTCCAGTTGGAAACTCTTCCTCGTCTGGTCCTCGTTACTTCTCCACTCTATTTTTTTTATTCCCTTTTTTGCGTACTGTAATTTTCAATGGAGTGGAATAACGACAACACGCGACTATTCACAGAACTGTTCAAAGCTAAGTCTGTGCTCTGGGATCCAAGATATCCCAAGGATTACAATAGACATACTATGTACGATGCCTGGGGAAAGTCAGCGAAGGTTGTAGGATGTGGAATAATTTTGACGATTGTTTGTTTCGAAATTTTGCAAAGGTTATTGCAGGCTGGTGCATGCAGCACCCGTTGTCAATAACCGCAATGTAACTGCAAGTCTCTGTTTAAACTGGAACAGCTGTGGTGTCCTTCCCCGCAATTTTCGGACCGATTAAATTAATCTGGAATTCAAAGTCTGCTGGGTGTCATACGATTAAAATCTGTGTATTGCCCACTAATTTCTTGGAACTTAAGTCCGCTAACAAACCCGCACCGCTATACAAACTTCCACTTCCACAAAACTGCGTTTGACACCAACGTCAAAAAATTCGTTTCTTATTCAGTGGCAAAATGTTGTGCATAAACACAAAAGCTGCGTGTAAAGACGACAGTTTGCGATCAATAGCTGCGAACATTTGGTGGGTCACGAATGCGCAAGCTGTTCATCCGAACGTTCGCCCTGTCGTACACACCTGAACGCCGTAACAGCAGAACGCGCATGCGTGTGTCCGGCTTAAGTGTTTCTCCTTCTGCAAATAGACATTTAAATGGGTTTGTAGGGATCACAGATCCGCTATATGCAGGGCCTGCGGTGATGTGATCCCGCTCTTTCACCTGTTGATCTCGGAATGAGGGATTTCTGTTTCTACCTGTTCCTCTGCCTGCCACCGCTGAACCGGTTTCAGATCCAATCCTGGTCCATTCAACCTGTAATGCCTCTCGCTTTCTATAGTAAGACTGGGTAAAGGTAAAGTCGGAGAAGTTCGTGGAGGTAGGCCTAGGCCCACTGGGGCTGTAGTGCTAAGGAAAAAAAAGGGGTAAAGTGCTTAATTGCCGGTCACGGTAGCCGAGAGGTCTAAGGCATGCACTGTCTTCGCTCACTCGGAAGCCGGGATCGTGGGTTCGAATCCCACTCAGGGCATGGATGTTTGTGTGCGTTTTTCTGTGTTTGTGTACAGGTAGAGGCCTTGCGACGAGCTGATCACCCGCCCAAGGAGTCCTACCGTATGTCTAAGATCTAGAAAAACCGAAGTGAACGGAGAAGTTCATGGAGGTAGGCCTAGGCCCACTGGGGCTGTAGTGCCAAGGAAAAAAAAAAGCTTAATTAAGCAACACGCTATGGAGACATGCGTGTCTAGAGGTATAGCTCCGTGCATTCAAAACCTTGGCCGTATTCAGACTAAGGCTATTATGTCAACGGCGTTGCCACATGTTTACAGATCAGCTGACACATTCCACATAAGTACAGTATATGACACAGTAGTGTGCGGTCAATGCTGGACACGAAATTAATGGTACAGATTGCTAATGGTGAGTCCAGGCGCACTGACGTCAACACACATTACTGAAATACAATGAACATACAGGCAACACCGCCTACGTGCTGGTACCAGCACGAATCTGAAAGCCTGACCTTTAGCCCGATCAGCTATTCATCAGGATTATGCTCTAAGCTGAAAATACGGACCAGGCTGCTACCTGACTGAATGACTTGTTTACACGATAGGACTCCAAGATTTTGGAAAGAGCAGTATCCCTTCTAACCCATCAACCCTCGGCCGACTCTTCAAGGACAGACTTTCGTATTCATGTTGGTAATTGATGTTTTGGCCGTTTTCCCCCTTTTCCAAGACACTGCTGGAAACATTTTCTGCTATGGTATGAAGAACGGCCATGAACACTCACAAGTCGTGGACGCGGATTGGGAAGCACTTTTTCTGTTTCGTAACAGTCGCCATTTATTTGATTATGTGCATCAACGGTATTTTTTTACTCCAAAACTCAAATTATCCACTGGTCGGCATGTAAGTAAAAGTAAAAAAAAAAATAAAGGTATCCCTGTAACAGGCCGTGGAGACCCTTAAGGTTGTGAGATGTTGAGGCTCCCACATTTTCTAGACAATCGGCTCACAGACGGCGGTAAAGTTGTCACGCGCCGGCCGCCCTTTACCCCCAGGAATATTCCTGGTATTCATTTCTGTTAGAGGCTGAGTCAACCCGAGGGCCATAGTGCGGCTGGAAGGATTAGGTAAATTGAAAAAATCCACCTCATCGGGATTCGATCCCGCGACCTTCCGGCTTGTAACATAGTGCCTCAATCAACTAAGCTACCGCCGCCGTGCCGAGCGGCCCAGTTGGACTCAACCCCCCACTAAACGAATTTAAAAATTTTTAAGCGAAACTACTGCTACTACTCTGCTGCTACTACTACTATTACTACTCCTGCTGCTATTACTACCACTACTACTACTGCTCGTGGTCTGAAGGGCAAAGTTATCCCTGTGCTAAGCACCGCCGCTATGAAGGCTTGCATGAACGCGAAAATAAAAAGAGTGCTTGTTGAGGAACTGTCATGACCTCTGTGCTGTGCAGGAAACAGGTGTGCTCGGGCTCCCCCCAATGCAGGAATCCCCCAGTCCTTGGAATCTCATTTAGACACTCACGTGACGCTTCTCTTCCCACACGAAACCTGCTGGAAGCTGCTGGGAACTTCCCGCCACTTCTGCCTCCACGCCCGCATTTTGCACATGGGCTCACTGTCACTCTTCTGTGATACTGTCTTCCAAACTGCAGTTCGCCTGTAAAAGATGTTGGATGTGTTGTGTGCTAATGCCATTTTAATTCAGCATTTCAGTCGAGAAAGATTACGGTAAAATTCATTAGGGAGACCTAGGTGTAGACTGATTAAAATGGTCCTTCAAAAGATTGTGCGTGGTCTGTATTCTTCTAGGCCCTAGACGAATCCAGCCCACATTTTTCTTTACAGATTCTAGGAATACCAAAAGTGGATTGGTGGCCCATGTTAAAATGGATTTTAGAGCCGATAATGAGACTTTGGTTTCATAAAATGCAAGGAGTTTGACTAGTTGAATGGCTTTCAAATTATCAAGTTCTGCGCAGTTAGTTATTCGCGAAAAACATTGGTAATGCAGCTGTATTTGTTATATCAGTATCAATTTCACGGCCTGTTTCTGGTACAAGAATAGAAACTGTTCTATTCACGCTCTTCGTTGGACGTCCCTGCTCTCTTATGCACTTCAATTTATGCTGATAAAGGGTATAGGCATTGGGTATTCTGGAATCCCTCCCAAATTTACAGCCAATCCTTTGAGTGTTCTCCTATTCTACGGTTACCAGTATCTGTTCTGTAATAACTTCATTGCATTTCTTCTCTCTTCCCTTTTGTCTTTCAAGTGACATTATATGGAAACACTGTCTTCGCGACGATTCTTGAGTTACGTTCTTTTAACCGCGTTTTTTAAAACTTCTCAGGTTACAGGCTATAGCACTGAACGATAGCTAAATTTGTGTATGATTAATTCGAAAGGATATGAAAGGATGACATTTTGGTCTGTTTTAATGTATTAATTCAGCATTTATGTGGAAAAACCAAGGACAGTTGAGAGAAATATCAGGCTAGGTAATTAGCCTCCGTGTGAAGAACCGAATCCAGGACCTCCTACATGAGCACTGGAACATCAATGAAGGAAGTTCCATATAAAGGCTTGATTGTGACGTACGTGCAATATAAAACTACCTTCCCCGTGCGTATGGAGAAACTGAGAGATGATGTAATTTGGGGTCAGCCAGTAGTGGGGTACATACGAGGACGTCTGTAGGATTTCCCCATTCTTGAGAGTCTAACACTGGCTGACGGCCGCTGTGGTCTCCAGTTGAAAGTGAACATCTGGCTGCAGAGGGCGGCAGGGGGCCCTCGCTGCAGTCTCGGCCACTTACCTACCGCCAGCCTGTGGTGTGACTGACTTCAGAGGATCACCAGAACTGGTGAGTTCAGTGTACCGCGAGCGCCCTGGCCACTGGATCCTACTTTGTAAGAGAGATTGAAATTTAGATATGGTCTTCTGAGTCATGACACCATGTAGTATGAAGATGGAGGCAGCAGGTTCCTCTACCCTGCAGATCCAAGACTGTTTCCTTCGAAAAGTTGTCACCCATATGCGGTACCATAAATCAGAAGACCATTATTTAAATTCCGCTAAAGTGTCCGATTCTCAGAGAGTTTTCTCTTTTCTGCCTTGTCAGACCAAGGGGTAGGAGTTCGAGTCCCGGTAGGGGTAAGATTATCTTCTCCACGTCGTCTAGATCGGTTCTGGCGCCCACCCAGCCTCCAATGCGTACCGGGGACTTTCCCCCGGGGCAAAACGGCCGGTGAGTGAAACTAATCACTCACCTCAAACTTAGTGCCGAAGGTAAGGAATACGTGGATCTATACATCCACTCCCCATACGCCTTCATGGCGTAGCGCTTAACTAGTTAAGCACAGGGACAACTTTACCTTACCGTGTTAGAACGGCTCCATTTCCGGGAGTACTTTACACAGGGTTAAAGTTGACGGAAAGTGATATCTTCGCATCGGACTGTAGGATGAAGTGTGAATGAGGAAGTGGTCGTTGTCACGCATTTGCGTGAAGGGACTTGCCATGAGAGGCCCCAATCAGGACAGCCGGCCTACGATTCAGAATTTGTAGTCTGAAACCCCAAAATACGTTCACTAGACCGCGGCCGTTTGTTACATAATGAGGCATGACAAGATAATTCATAACTGACCATTTATAATGAGGTGATGTACAATGTCGGCAAATAAGCAAAGAAGAAAAAAGGTTGTCTGCAGATGTCAGACAAAACCTCAGCTGTAGCGATTTAAGATGATTTTATGGTGGCTCCCTTACACAGTGACTTTACTACACAATATATTGGAATTAATTGCTACAGGCGCGTCTTTGTGTTGTAATTTTGTTGTTACTTTTTGATACTCACTTGCGAGTTCTTTAAAAAAATGTATCATTCATTATTTATTTATAGACTTAGTGGTCAGAATTCCTGGCTACAGATCCAGAGGTCCCGGGTTCGATTCCCGGCGCTACCAGATTTTCTAAGAAGTAATGGTTCTGGAACGGGGTCCACTCAGCCTTGTGAGGATAACTGAGGAGCTAGTTCAACGAAATAGTGGATTCGGTCTAGAATACCGAGAAAAACGGCCGTGGGGATCCGTTGCGTTGACCACGCGACATCCTCTATCCGCTAAAGTTGGCACTAACTTCGCCGAAAAGCGGCGGTCGCTCGGTCGATATAGTTCGCTTGCGGACTACAGGCCACGAAGTTTATTTATTTATTTATATCCTCTTTTTCGTTCATTTCAAACCCAATTAATTTACTACCCTCGAAAAATATTTAAGCTGATGTTACAGCACTGGAGGATCTTTTTTATTTTCCAGTTGTAATAACGAACTTCACAGAGCAGACTCCTTGAGACAATAACAGTCGTTCGTCTATCAAGAAATTCTACGTTTCTCGTGAACGTGTAGGTTCATTAAGATCCACGGTCCCTATCCTGAGCCAGTAGTATTCAATCTTATTCCTTGACCGTCAATTTTAATATTATCTTCCCATCTACGCATAGGCCTCCTAAGCGGTAAGGGTGTAATAAATATTTTAGAGAACACTGAGTTTGTGTTGATCAATAACGTCTATTTTATATAAATTTCAAATAAAAATTTTCAATTTTAACTCGTATTTTAATTTAACTCAACTGAAAATGTTTAAAATAAAATCAGGCAACATTAACTCTTAGCGCAGTTACATTTTTATGTCAAGAATTAATTCATTATACACGATACTTCTCTTAATAATTGTTGGAAGAAAAACGATTCAATTTCGTCTTGAGGACCGGATTCGATAGTGAACTGTAATTTGTCCATCACCGTGCTAATGGTTTCCCCTTTCTCCTGTCATATTTACATTTGCATTTCAATAAAACTGTTCACTCACTTTGTAAGTTGTCCACAGAGCGCTATATCCTCGACTGTATTATGACTGGAACTAGGAACCAAATGGAATATGTCGGAGATTATAGTGTCTTATGAAACTACCTCCATACGGCAATTTCCGTCTACAGAGAAAGCATTGTTCAATCCAAACTAATTACCGACACCACATCACAGCACATTCACAACAACATCTATTTTTGTACTGTATGTTGTGTCCGCATTCCAGGCAACACTATTCAAATCATATTGAATCCATTCACAGCCTCCTTTCGCTCTATAACTCCTGCCATATATGCAACACATTCTACATATCATAAAAGTATCCGGCAGACAGGAAGCACTACATCAAAATGGTCTGTGAGGGCTTGTAAGCTTGGCAGAAAGACCAGAACTAATACATTCTAATAAAAGGTGAAAGGTAAAGTTTTCCTTGTGCTTAACTAATTAAGCAGTGGGTGTATAAATCCACATTTTATTGACTTCTGCATTAGTTGGAGGTGAATGGTCAGCTTCACTCTCCGGCCGCTTTACCCCCGGGGAAAGAGCCCCTGGTATCCATTGGATAGGAGGCTGGATGGGCCCCAGAGCCGGTCTGGACGATGTGGAGAAGAGAGAACTCTCGCCCCTGCCGGAACTCGAACTCCGACCCCTCTGTCATCCAGTCCATAGCCAGTCGCTATAATGACTGAGCTATCCCGGCTCCCATAAACATTCTATTATCGGTATTAATTGAAACGGTAAAAGGTAAAGTTGCCTCTGCAACTGGGCAGCATGCCATGAACACCTGGCGTGCGCAGGAAAGTAATTACACACAGTGTTTTCTTAGCACTTTACAGAGGTGAGTGATTAGCTTCAGACTCCGTTTGGTTTATCTCTGGGAAAAGACTCACCAGTATCGATTAGAGTAGTAAAGTAAGCCCGAGAATTGGTCTGCACATCGTAGCAGAGAGCAAAATCCCTGCTCCTGACAGGAGTTGAATCCTGTCTATCCAGCTCATTGTCAGTTATATATAAATTCTGATACTAATATTTACACATTACTTGGCATTATAATTGATATTTAAATGTGTATTAAAATTTTGATTCACATTCAAGAACAGGATATGTGGAATGCACATCATCTGCAAATGAAACAAAGCATTTTAACAAACTGGGTGTCTTGCCCACAGAGATGTAAGAGGGCATAACAGAAAACAGGGACTTTTTTTTTGTGTTGGAACTGGCTGGTCAGGAGCCTACTTTGTGGCTGGTGATCATGAACACCGTGATGACTAACAGCATGGAGAAGGATTAGTTCCTCAAGATTCTGATGACATACCATAACTTGAATTGATTTAGCATGACAAACTAGTAACTTTTTTTAAAAGTTTTCATTAAAACTTACATGATTTAGCACAGATAACACTCTAGTCTAGGAGGATATTATTAAGAAATCTTGAAGAATAAGGGTGCAGACTGGTTCCTCTGGCTTAGGACAGGTTCCAGTGGCAGGCCTCTGTGAGCACATTAATGAGCTTTGAAGTTCCATAAAAGAAGCGGAGTTCCTTGGCCAGCTCAGTGACTATCATCTTCTCACAATTGACTAAGCTCTATGGGGTAGTAGTTTTTCTTATCCCCAGTGGGGTGGGACTAAGTCCCTTGTACTGCGGGCACTTCTGGCCTATTGTACCAGCCATAGATGATAGGTGAGGGTGATTGTGGAGCAATTGGTGGAATGAAGATTGGCAGGGGAAACCGAAGTACTAGGAGAAAACCTGCCAAGCACCACTTTGTCCACCACACATACCACTTGACCAGACCCGGGATCAAACCTGGGCCGCCGCGGCGGGAAGCCAGCAACTAGCCGCTTGAGTTATGGCACATCAAGTAGTAGTTACATTCTTATTGTTTTCAAGTGTCCTAATCCTTCCAGTCACACTATGGCCCTGGGGTCATCTTAGCCTCTAACAGAAATGGGTACCAGGAATCATCTTGGGAGGTAAAGGGTGGCCCGTATGTAAGGCTGATAACCTTACCGCCATCTGTGAGCCGATTATCTAGAGAAAATGTGGAGCCTCAATGTGTTACAACCCTATGGGTCTTCTTGGCCCATTACAGGGATAGTCTTTGCCTTTTAAATGCATATAATGACATAATTGAACATTTTAAATTATTTGAAGGTTTTAACATTTTATTATTAACATTGCAACATTGAATGCTAGATTACTATGATTTGTATAAAACAATGGATTCAGATGTAGACTTCGTGTTGTTTCTGGTCCAAAGAGCGTAGTTGTTTTTGCTAGCAGACATTTAATTCTGTCTCTCTGACAGTAGTTAACTTGTACAGCCTGAAGGTTCCACTATGTCACTTTTTACAAACTTATTGGCCATATGAAACTGAGATTTTCAGTGAGATGAAAATTCATATTGTGGTCTCCTTGACTATGAAACCATGTAGTCTGGCAGGTGGAGAAACCTTTTGGAGGAAAATATTGCTTTCATCTTCAGGGCAGACTGGAGAGGAGGTAGTAACTTCATCCAAAAAGTTAATACTCAGCTATCATAATACAACTTGGTGCCATAATTCACCAGGGACCACATTATGAACCTACCAGTAACTTTTTCAGTCATCATTTAATCTTTAATAAGGAGACCTGTGAGCCATTATTGGTATCAGTCCTTGGACTGAACCTCATGATCATGTGCTTGGCACTTCTGCGTCATATACTTCATACACTTCATATACCAGGTCCCTGGTTCAGATCTAGGCTATTCATTAATTATCCCATCATCTACTGCTAATTACCCTATAATCTGACATTATATAACCCTTTCAAATTGAATGATTCATTAAATAAAGCAAGAATAAAAATTAAGTTTTAGGGTAAAGCATAGAAACACATGCTCCAATCCATGCTTTTCTGAAACAATTTCGCAAATTAAACCACAGATTCACAATTAGATGATACAAGGCATTTTGAGACAAAGTAGTCACCTGGTTTTAAGTGAATTTTCACATGTTTTAATGCAGGCAATCTGAGCATCACTACGACAAGATGTGTTGTTCAAAGTCACTACTTATGATCTCTGTACTGCTGCAAGTCTTCAGTCATGGTTTCACTTCCATTTCAAATGGTGAGAATTTAATTATTGATAACATAAATTTAGATTTAAAACTAAATTTATATGTGAATTTTACTGTCTGCAGAGTAGCAATAAATTGTATACTTCATTGTTATTAAGATACTTCACTGTTTTTACACGTTATTCTCATTTAATATATTACAATAATTCCATGGAAGAGGGTCCTTGAAAATCTGATAGTCGTTCATCTAGTCAAAATATCCTTTCATGAAACCTGAAAATTCACTACTATATTCAGAAGTCCACCACTAGATCCTATCTTGAGCCAGATGTATCCAGCCCACACCATCACATCCTACTATTTTAAAATTATGGTCCCATACAAAATCAGGCCACATTTCAAATTTTCTGATTAAAATTTTGCATTTATTTCTTATCTCTTCCACATGTTTATCTTGATGTGGAATAAAAAATTGGAATAACAAATACTTAAGAAAATTAGAAAACTACTCTAATGCATTAGCAGTCAACCTACTAGACAATAGCAAAACTACACACAGACTGACGATACACCGTTCTAACTCTACTAGACAGACCTGAGTAAACCCCCAACATAAGAATTAAAATGATACCTAACTGGATAAACAAAGTATACAGTTATGCCACTGGGCATAACTCATTCATGAGCCAGCACCTTTTGAGCATAAACATTTATTGCATATTCTGCAGATTATGTATAATAAATGTGTAAAAACATGTACTTTTCACCAAATATTATTACAATTATCACATAAACGAGAACGTGTGGAAGATATAAGAAATGAATGCAGAATTTTAATCAGAAATGTTGTACTTCTCATCAGATATTATTAGGGTGACCACATGAAGAAGAACGTGTGGAAGAGACAAGAAATGTACACAAAATTTGAATCAGAAAATTTGAAATGGGGCCTGATTTTGTATGGGAGCATAATTTTAAAATGGGTGCTAGAATAATAGGATGTGATGGTGTGGACTGGATACATCTGGCTCAAGTTAGGATCTATGTCAACATTTCATCTCCCTTAGATCCAAATGCTTTCCTCACCAATCTGTTTTAGACATGCTCACTCAGTGTTTTCCCCTTAGGATGAGATGTCAAATCTCACACATATATAATATGATGTGCTGATTGTGACAACATCTGATACAGAAACTAAGTACTTCTTAGTGACAACACTGTGATTTTCTTCTTGCAGAAAGTGTAACAACCACTACAAGGAAGGAGATTCAACCCAGTGAAAGACTGAACCATGAAATGGATAGGTATTCTATTCTAGTGTCAGATTCTGCAACCAGAATTCACAACATGACACTGTCAGGCTCACCTCAGACTCTTCCCAGTGATATGATCGATTTTTCTGTCCTGCTGAGTCCTCAGTCTGATGATGGACTAGATAAATCCTCATTGCTGGAGCCCTATGATGGATTTAAATATTCTGCAGTATCAAGTCCTAACAAAATACCTGACAAACCATTTATTCATATTAGTAGTACAGAAGACAATAACTCTACTGAAAGCATCCAAGATTCCCCTCCATCTTATTTGAATGACAAAAAACAGTCTCCTTCTGTACCCAGTTCAAATATCACTGTACATCCCCTTAATAGCAAAGATGTCACGAAATTCAATGCTACTAAACATGAAATTTCATCCACAAGTTCATCTTCAGATTCTAATAGAAGAATGTCTAATATTCGATCTGGAAACAAAATAAACTCAACAACTCTGTCTGAATCTTATGAAGAGATAACTACATCTTCAACATCAGATTCTAAAATTAATGGAGTTCAGACTTTATCGTCACAAAAAGACAATGCTGAGAACATTTCAAACCTCAGAAGAGAGGAGGCTATCAGTCTACCTGCTTCAACCACAAATATACCTATAACTCATACAATACAGCATTCACCTGTAAGCCATGCAGATTCTTACAGCAATTCTCATACTTCAGAAATATCTGTAATCTCAAGTGACAGTTCTGATACAAATACCAGGCCATTTCCAGTTGATACAACCATGGCTGTTTTACTGCCTCAGAATGCTACAAATTACCGACAAAATGAAGAAAGCCAACATTCTATTATATCCAAAGCACATTCTTTTCAACAGCTGAACAATTTTACAGTATCAAATTTTGAGCCTAATATTGGAACAGATAGCATAATAACATCAGATAACACTGACCATCCTTTTGTTTCTGAGACAGTTGCCAATTCACTTCCAACACACCCCACTTCTAATAAGAATCTTAAACATCCTTCTGACAAAGAAGTCCGAATGATTTCATTGCCTACTTATCATCCAAATGATGTAATTCATTTTTCCTCATCTGAATTGTACCCCAGTGATAGTATTCATAATACATCTCACGAAGAGAAGCATCCATGTGCAAGAACATGCAAGGAAGGCTCACCCCCAATGGTGTGCAGATACAGGTTTCAATTGGAATGGTACTACACCATGAGTAAAGCCTGTTATAACTGTCCAGTACATCTTGATGACTGCAATAGAAAGGACTGTGTTGTGGCAGATGGTGTAAGACGTCCTGTAGTTGTGGTTAACAGACAGATGCCAGGTCCTAGTGTCGAGGTGAGTTCAAATACCCATGACTAGTTTTTACACTGAAATACTCTGAAGTATAAAGTAATGAGTCTGTCCTTTAGGACAATGTTCTTTTGAACACTCATGCTTACACTACCCAATGTGTGGATGACTGGGGTGGAAGCAATTCTGTTTCTTGCTGGCTGCATTGTGTTGATTAAAGAATGAAGGATTTGTTTTTTATTTTTATAAGATTGTTATACCCATATACTTAAACTAAAAACACCTGCAAAGTTTTATTTGACTAACTGATATGGGGTTCATTAATTATCTACGTAGGGCATATAGGACATAAATCTTTATATTATCTCTTTGGTTTCATCTTTCATCCCTTACACGTTTCGGTCGGAGCAACCATCTTCAGAAGGACATTATCAGTACATATGGAAACTACTATTACAATGTCATAGATATAAAATATTATATCCTTTAACAATTACTAAGATGTGTATGAATTTGTTAAAACATTTATAAATTATTATAATTAGTCTATTTACAAAGTCTTGTTATCAATCACACTGGACAGCGTCAATAATCTTTTAAACTTTTAGTTTCCCTAGTTATAACACTTCCTATCAATCGGTAATGAAATATCCTGCCTGATGGTGTTAATACTCATACACATATATTTAAAACATTGAATTTTCGATATTCTGATATTTAGGTTTTTTCATTTTCCTTCATCTCTATAAACAACCTTTAGAGTCACAATAAAATTTGGTCTGGCAAGCTGCCAAGTTGCCTATCTATGCTAAAATGGTTTCTGAACAATTGCTACTTCAAGAAATTCATTTCAATTTTCTGAACTGCTGTATGTGTTAGAGAACCATTCCTGTGTTGATAGCATTTTCAGTAAATTTATCTCCTAATATAGTATGTGGCCATAAAAGTATAGCATGATATGGAATATCACAAGTATGGATGCACAGCATGCTTCAATTTGAGAATATGAGATTATTATACAACTACATGAACTTTGAGGGTGTGATACTATTTAACTGTGAAGTCTAAGGCATGTTTTAATTTTCCTGCAGTTGCTGTAATTTTTCCTCATGTACTGCTGTGTCACTTGTATGAAAACTCTAGAGCTACAGTTGACTATCAATACTATTAAGTTAGCATTAGATTTACATGTTTTACAGTGAGATTTTCTAAGTGACAATAATGTTCCTGAAAGACTGACAACTGTGCCAGGTGTGTAAGGGTGACCAAATCATAGTGGATATGGAGAACTACATGATGGAGGAGAGTACAACTATACATTGGCATGGGCATCACCAACGTGGAACACCTTACATGGATGGCGTTCCATATGTCACTCAGTGCCCCATCCCGCCAAAATCATCATTCCGCTACCACTACACTGCCGACACACCTGGAACCCATTTCTGGCATTCACATTCTGGTTTGTACACTGCTGTCACAACCTATTAATAAGGTTTATCTTATTTTTTAAGCATCATACCATGGTGATATAGTGGGGAGTGACAGTATAACTCCATGCATTCTTAATCTAAAAGCTACATAGATAATAGTGATCATCTTCACCCTCTCACTACTTTAGCCAGAGGGATAGAAGCCATAGTATCCACTGGAAAAGAGGAAAATTGGGTCCCAGGGTTAGTCTGGTTGTGGTGGCAAAAGAAAAACCTTTGTCCCTACAAGGAATAAAACTGTGGAAACCCAGTCCCTACCTGGGCATTATACTGGTTAAGCTATCCAAGTTAATTTCGTTGCTCACAATTTATACAATGATACATCAAACACAATTGTGTATTTGTATATGAACAGATCTTTGATCTGGAACCTTTCAAACAGAAACTAAAAGTGCTAACCATCATATTGTGATAGTTGTCATGATTGTAATTATCAGCAGCAGCATCACCGCCACTGCTTTTAAAGTTTTTCTTTAAGGGATGTACTTCATTTGAGCATTCTTGTGCGGCAAATATTACTTGTAGGTGAACTAATATTTTTCTCTTAAGAACACTTCCCTTTCACAGCATGTCTTACAGTCCTCAAGAATATTTAACTGTCCTTGAAACTATGTTAAATGTGTATCAGTCTAAATAAATGCACTAGCTCAGCATTTTGGTGGCATGCAACTAAGTATGAATGCATCAACATCTGCCTGCTTACTCAAGCACTAAATTTATGTGTAACTTGCCATGTTATATTATTTTGTGTATTGTGCTGTTTTGTAATTGGACAGCATGCTAATGAAAAGTTTCACTACTACCACTACAGCAACAACTGCTACTATTACTATCACCAACACTATTACTGATGCTGCTGCTGCTCCTACTACTGCTACTATGATGATGATGATGACCACTACTACCACATAACACTAAATGTCTTTCTCAAGTTCTTTCTTGGTGTTTTCCAGTTCAATCAGAATGCATGATGTACTCACACACTTTCGGTAACTCAGATTATACGTACAGCATAAAACAATAAGATAATTGGTGAATAATGAACTGAAAAAAGGCATAGAAAGTAGCGTTTGTAGTCCAGTTTTAAATACTATCCTGGAATTTGCCTGATGAGATTAAAGTAAAACAAACACACTTGATTAAGATAGTTGGTCTCTCGGCAGAGATGTGAAGTCAGAACCTCCAGAATATAAAGCAGATATCTTAACTACTAGAGAGTGATGCTCAGTTACCAGGATGTAAATATTTAATAGAACTTTAAAAATGAAGATTAAAATTTTGAATTTTGTAACTTGTGACCAGGGTGTCAGAGGGCAGATGGAGCATTTGGAGCACTGATTGTGCGTGTACCGTCATCCAGTGATCCTCACAGAGAACTATATGACCGAGATCTGTCTGAACATACAGTGCAAATCCTGGACTGGGATGACAAGCTAGGAGTGGACAAGTTTCTTGCACATCATCATGCCAATGGAAATAACAAGCCAAAAACATTGCTGGTTAATGGCAGGGGTCGCTTCCATCAATTCCAGGATGTAAATTTTGCCATTACGAATGTGACACATTCGCCAACTGCAACATTTGCTGTTCAACAGGTACCATGGTTTCTTGAGATAATACTTGTCCTTCGTATTTCATATCCTGCCCGGTGATCAGTTAATTTTACGAAGGATTTTACTGGTACCTTACAGGCCCTGCATGAAAATAACCAAACATTGCCTAAAAATAAGCTATGAACACTTCCATATCCTTCCAAGCTCATCTTAATGTGACACTCAACGATTACTACAGTTGAAAACATACTCTTAATTCAGACATGAAAGATTAAGATAGTTCATTCTTTGTGCTGATTAAATGACACATATAGATATAAAAAAGTACACTTCTTCTGTTGAAAAACCGAAATTCGCCCCATAAGTATCAATGGAGTGATGAAAGTTCTCCTTCATTATGAATTACATCTACTAAATATAATAAGAAGAATACAATGTTTGAATATTAAATTACTTAATGACACTCTGCTTTCAAATACAGGGTTTATAAATTACCAATTGATAATCAATATGTAAGAATTTTGTAAAAGGTGGTCAGAGCATATTTGAAGTTATTAACCTGGCAAGACTAAGGAAGATATCAAAAACTTTCATTCTGGACAAGATTCAAATCAGGTACGTCCTGAATTCAAGTCTTTAGAGTGTAAAACCCACATAGTAGAGTCAGGCAGGAGCAAATTATGAGGTGACAAAATTCAGTGTCCAAGTCAAATTTTGTGAATCAAAAATGATAAAAAAGAGTGGGCAGATGGACCATAATTTAGTGTGATGCAAGGCAGCAGTGCTTTGTATACAAAATAATGTGCTTCTAAGATTCAAGGAATTTATATTAAAGCTATGTAAGTACTCTCAGAGAATATAAACACAGAAGGATTTCATTCATGTTGCAAAAAGTATGATATGACACTTGTATTTAATTGCCATCGCAAATTTTGATCTTTAAATCAAGCTGCTGTGTCTGCCATTGTCTGAATTCCTTTACCATATATCTTGCTCTTTGAATATGAATCCACTGTCGTGAAGCTAATTACATTGCAGATACCATATTATGCACAGTTAGAAATCTTGTTTCCTTGTATTTTGTTAAATATTTGCTACATCAAGTAATATTTAAAACAAAAGTTATGAATCTAAGTCTCCTTTTCCATAAGCATTTGTGAGATGTCTCAGTGATCTGCTGAGCATCTGTATGGCTGTATGGAAACAGCCCCATTTAAATCAATAATTCACTAAGAGGCACCATAAAAAGTTGTGTGCTCAATATACTCATATAAAGACAGCCTTTATGGACATCTATATTTTGTGTTCAGTGCCAGATTCTTTTTAAGAAGAATTGAATTTATAAAAAAAATAGGGTGTGGGAACATCCCACATACTATCACGCTGTTTTGCCGATCACCAACATGATCTGGAATTAAATTAATAACTTTTATTGTAGACTCTGAATACCAAATTTATCAAAATCAATTTAGTAGTTTCAGATATTAAATATACAGACAAATAAGCACAACCTCCCCTACATGTGCCCATCACGTGTTTAGACACCTACTACTTTAGTCTGATACTGTGATATAATTATACACAATATAAATGTACACCCAAAAAAGTAACTGTTGAACAACATCAGTCTTATGATGATTTTTATCAATAACCACAGGGCTTCCGCTACAGGTTCCGCCTGATAAATGCAGGCTTCCTCAACTGTCCTATTGAGCTGTCAGTGGATAATCACACCTTGTTAGTGATCAGTAGTGATGGAGCTGATCTAAAACCAGTGGAAGGTAAGCATAGCAGATACACAGATTATAAGAAAAGTTCCTACAGCCTAGTTCATTATTTATTTGCATTTATAAGCAGCTCTGCAGTCTAATCTTACAGCCAGTCATATTTTGATACTCAGTGAGACTATGGAATACTGTCTCGCGATAGCGATTCATCTCGCGATCGAATACACAGAAGGCAACAGTGGGAGTGCTGTGTTTTCTATGCGGTCGGCACCATGACCGTTGCTATGCAATCGCTCGGTAAACACATTCCAACAATATAAGCTGTTTCTGCGTGGTCTGAAGCTATGTAATGAGAATAACGCCAGCAGTCAAATTTGAGACAGTAATATGAGTATATGGTTTTGAGTACCAAGGGCCTTGGACCTGAGAAAGACTGCGCTGGCAAGAACCAGCAGCATGTACAAAAGACATATCCATCCTCTCATCAGAGAGGGTGCCCCCAAAAAACAAGACTGTAACTGTCAAACAGTAAGAAACATCTGGTCGCAAGCCCCAGATGGGTGCTTTATGCCAATACAGACTGGCTGACTGACTGTAGGTATTAAAATGAGACTCAGACTCAGTATAACCCGTGTGGAGACAGGGTTGAATACCTCCATCTTGACCCTGTGAGTCATAGGAGGCAAAGAAAATGGAAGTTTCGAATCTGAGACAGTAAAATATGGTCATGAGTACCATGGGACTTGGACCTGAGAAAGACTGCACTGCCAATGGCCAGCAGTACATACAAAAGACAGACCCGTCCTCTTGTCAGAGAGGGCGCCCCACAAAAAACAAGACTATAACTGTCAAAACAGTAATAAATATCTTGTCATGAGCCCCAAATGGGGCTCGACACCAAGACTTACTGACTGACTGAATGTCAGTCGCAATGTGACTTTGACTTTGAGTATTTGAGTCATTTATTAGATTGTATTTCCTGTTCAAAAGTGAGCTATTAAGCGCTAACATTAAGCTGACACTCCACAAAGCTCTCATTAGATCTGTAATGACTTCGGCTAGTCTCACCTGGGAATTCGTAGCAGATATCCATCTAATGAAATTGCAGTGCCTACAAAACAAGGTTTTCTGTACCATTGGCAATTTTCCAAGGTGCACACCGGTTCGCGATTTACACCTGGCTTTCAAAATTCCGTACATTTGTGATTATGTAACAAGATTATACAGGCATCAAGCAGAAGTGATACAAAATCATGATAACGGAAATGGTGGAAATATTTGACAAGGCAAAACCTGACACAGAAAGTATAAGAAGGTTAAACTTGATGGCGGTCAAGCATATGACCGTTCAAATGACCAGACTGTTATTGTAGCAGAAGCTACTAGAAACATGGTATAAACTACTGTACTGAGCCTGGACTGACAGAGGTCCTGTATATATTTCATATACATTTATAAATGACTTACTACTGCAGACAATGACTCTAACATAAGACAGACCTGTCCTCTCTTCAGAGAGGGCACCTCACAATATCCAAGACTGACCAAGACTGACTGACTGACTGTCAGTCACAATGTGGCTTTGACTTTGACTTGAGTGTGTTTGTGTTTTTAAGTGGAGAGTCCAGGAGGGTGCAACAGTTGAGAGTACAAGGATGAGAATGGAGCATGAATTGTGAAGATTGAGAGCAAATTTGAACCAGGAGTAGAGAAGAATACAAGAGATCGGCCTATGAGGATTTAGGGTGTGATTTGAAGACTTTACGTGTGCTATAGTGCAGTGGTATTGGGAGTGCGTGATTTAGGAAGACTGTTACAGTTAGTAGTAATTGTAAATAGCATAAATCAGTAACAGTGTTACAAGTAATTGTGGTTATGACCTGTAAGTGATTAATAAAATCAATTACCAATCCAAACCACATCTCAGTACTCAAACAAGTTACAATACTAACTGGTGCATTTTACCATATTTTTGTGCTACTGGTCAGTCTTATTGTATTATTATTATTTACTGTGTTCTTTCTTTCACTGTTTGCCTCTATTTGCCTTTTCTGCTGTTGTCATGCATGCGAAAAATCAACTGAACTATTATTTACAATATTAATTCTCACTTGTACCAATAATTCAAATGGGCTGTAATTAACATCATATTTATGTTACTCAGCTGACTCTCTGGTGAGCTATGCTGGAGAAAGATTTGACTTCGTGCTAAAAGCAAATCAGAAAGTTGGCAATTATTGGATGAGGTTCCGAGGCCTGATGGATTGCGATGAACGTTTTACTAAAGCTCACCAGGTTGCTGTGCTTCATTATGATGGTGCCCCTGTGGATAAAGAACCACCTGGAGAGGTGAGCTATGAGGCAGCTCACAGGAAAGGAGTGGTGAGTATGGAATATTAATTGAAAGGACTATCATAATCCTCGCTTATATTTTCAAGTGTGGTTACTGCTTATGAGAGTCTGTTTCAATAATACTATTCAGATGATATCAATAATTTAATGCTACATGAAATTTGAAATATTTCAAAGCAGCCAAGTTTTGGATTGTGGTCTTCTGGTTTTTGATACCGTATATTCCGGTAGGCTGTTACCAGCATTTCCTAAAGGCATAAGTGGCCACCCTTAGTTAAGAGACTATTCCATTAGTTTCAAATGATGGAATATTCAGTATGTGTTTCGTTGATTACAATATTGTTTCATTGATCTAGTTCATACCAGCACTTGTTTCAGATTCCCAATATTATCTGTCAGTTATGCTGTAGATGAAATCACATTATGAGTACCACTTAGCAGTATGAAATGTTGCAATTTGGCTAGTACCACCAAACCACTAAAATTGGGGGAATATGAACAACGTTATCTGTTGTCTATTCTGAGAGGCATTTTCTTTCAATCAGCTGTTAGCATTGTCTGACTTATACGCAACAGCATTTCTTTTCTTTATACATGTTCGTCCAAGAGGTGAATAAATTCTCTGCTCAAGCACAGGCCCAAAGCTGTCCTTTCATGGATGTGTCACTGTGGAAAAGAGAGAGTGAATATTATTATTAGTGCTGCCAAGTCATGTGGCTGCATTTCTCCATGACTAAGCTTCTATGCTATCTAATGAAGTCAGGCATAAAATTCAGACAATTCTGAAATGTACATTATTCCACCTGAATTCAGCTCCCATATTAACAAATTATTGATCTGTTTTGATTTTTCAGAAAGTGAACTCATTGAACGTGGGGGTTGGCACTGTTGGATCACTGGTTATTCCAGAACTGGATGCAATAGCAGATGATGATGAAACTCTAAAGGAAGAACCAGACATGACATTTTATTTATCATATGATTTCTATGAAATAGACAATCCTCATTATCACCGTTCACCACTATACGGTTTCCACCAAGGTTTGTTTATAATATAATGACACAATAATATCCCATTCTAACTTCTGACATTTGTCACACAGCAATTACTAATGACGTAATTTGTTCATTTCTTAGACGTTTTATGCTAACTACAATTTGCCATGTCACCATGAAGTGTTGTAAATCCATGGAATGACATGGCATTAGGTTAATTAAGTAGGAAATATATTGATGGCTGGCACATGGAACTGGGAAACTGCTCCTCCCATTCTCCTCAGTCTACCAGCTCTAACATGGAAGTGAAACTGCCTCAGCTGCATAAGTTTAAAATATGTGAAGAGGAAGAAAGAAGAAATATCTGGGAGAAAAAAAAAAGATTGGAAACACATTTGTTGTCAGATGAACCACACTGATTAATGAGTTTAAACTTGACCCCACTGTTATGATTTTGGCTGTTAAAACATTCACAAGAAAACTTGCAAATTGCACTTAACATGCATCAAGTATTATCAATACTTCTAATTGTAGGTCTCCACTTAATGGTTATTCAACCACATTTCTCTGTAATTATGCAGTGGCACTTCCCTCACACCAGATGACATGTTCATCTTTTCAAGATAACAAATACAAATTAAAATTAAGAAATTTCTTCCTGTATCATCAAATTATTTATTGATACTGTATTGTAGCATCCTGTTGCACATCACCCATCCTGTTAGCCATTAGCTGTCCCACATGCAACTTGCTTTTTAAAAGCTTTAAAAGTGTTGAGCATTACAATCTCTTCTACACCACACTACATGTTTCAATCAACATTGGTCATCTTCAGGTGTCTTTAAAATTGCTGATGAAACTGCTGTGCTTCTGTCTATATGTTCAATTTTCAGGATACGCCTTCATCTGTGCGCCCATGTGTCTGTAACATGTATCAGCATTTTGTGTATAACACGTGTTGATGTTCCTTATGGTATATGTATATATACTTACGCCATGGTGATGGGTGTTGTGTTGTCTGTAGCTGTTATGAATGTTTGCTAAGTTTGGTTGGTTCTATTTTATTTTTTTTATTTTTTTGAAAAATATCAGTGTTTAATTCTTATAATATTTCGAATATTGGGTTATAAATGTCAATATATGTGTCATTCATGTGCAGCCTGTTTTTACTGATTTTATGTATGTGGTATTTTTCTAATATAGTTAGGTGGTTTCCTTTTTTCTGTTTTTATGATGTGCATTGTATCAGTTTACTGCCACATGTGTGCTCAGTATATTGTTCATATATCCAGGATTGGGACACGCGGTAGTGTAGATGGTTGAGGCACTATGCTACAAGCCGGAAGGTTGCAGGATTAAATCCCGATGAGGTCATGGGATTTTTTCAATTTACCTAATCCTTCCAGGTGCACTATGGCTCTAGGGTCAACTCAGCCTCTAACAGAAATGAGTACCAGGAATATTCTTAGAATGTTCTTCAGGGTAAAGGGCAACCGGCGTGTAAGGCTAACAACCTTCCTGCCATCTATGAGCCGACTGTCTAGAAAATGTGGGAACCTCAACATCTCACAACCCTATGGGCCTCCACGGCCTGTTACAGGGATAGCTTTACTTACTTTATATATCCAGAATTACCGTTATTATTTGTAATTGCCAATGTATGTTCTTTATATGTGGCATAAAATGTTCGGTCTGTTTGCCCTACAGCTTTTAGTGGGCAATCCACGCATTTCATTTGGTACATGCCACTCTTTTCTTACCTGTCTATTTGTTGTTTTTATGAATTACATATGTTGTTATTGAATTATTAAAATGGATCCATTTTCTATATTTATCAGTAATATTATGACCTAATTTTTAATTCGTTTTTTAGAAGTATTGTGTGGGATCTTGAACAATGTATGCTAAATGTTATGGTTGTCTTTGTTTTGTTTATGTGTACTGAATTTCTTTACAGTGGCTAGCAAGTTGCAACGATTGCTCACACCTCAGCTGAACCACATATCATTAAAGCTTCCACCATTTCCTCTTCTGTCCCAGCACAGTGATCTTGGCACAAAGCACCCTTTCTGCAATGAGACTACCATAAGTGGCTGTGAACACACGTACTGTGAGTGCACACATGTGATCGAGGTGCCGCTAGGGGCAGTTCTGGAACTCATTCTTGTTGACAAAGGTAAAATACTGAGATACTGGTAAAAATAAATAATTAGTAGCCAGAATTAATAACAAAATGATTTCTTGATTTTTTAGGTTGTAAGTCAGGTTTATTGAAAGTAAATAGAAGACTGGAAGACAAAAGGTTCAAACTGAATGCCAGCAACCATTCCCTGAATTTACAATGCTCTTTGTTCTTCTGTAAATATAACTTTGATTTTTTACCGTAGTTTTCAAATACCTGACAGAGCTTCATAATCTGTATCCTTCACTCAGCTAGTATTATTAGGATGATCTATTCAATAAGAGTGAGATCAGCAGGGCATATAGCATCCATGGGACCATTAGAAATTCATACAAAATTTTCTCAGAAAACGAGAAGGAAAGAAACTGCTTTGATGACTGAGATATGGATCTTTTTGTGGCTTATTTTACAGTGCTGTCAACATCTCAGACTGCACAGTGTCAAATGATAGGAAAATTAGTGAGTAACGAGCTGCATAGAATTTGGAAGGAAGCAGTTGAGGCATAATAGAGATCACCCTTATGCCTAATATACAATTAGTGATACAGTGCTCATGATCAGTTTGAAGGAATTCCATATCAAAAATGCACTGAAATACCTTTGATACAAGCTGAGAGCTTTAAACTAAAACTAAAGCAGAAAGGTTTAGCCTGATAGAAGTCACATGAAAGTAAGTAAAAAAAGTAAAGGTGTCCCTGTAACAGGCCGCGGAGGCCCATAGGATTGTGAGATGTTAAGGTTCCCACATTTTCCAGACAATCGGCTCATAGATGCCGGCAAGGTTGTCAGCCTTATGCGTCAGCTGCCCTTTACTCCCAAGAACATTTCAAGAGTATTCCCGGTACTCATTTCTGCTAGAGGCTGAGTTGACCCCAGGGCCATAGTGCGGCTGGAAGATTAGGTAAACTGAAGAAAATCCAATGACCTCATTGGAACTTGAACCTGTGACCTTCCAGCTTCTAGCATAGTGCCTCAACCAACTAAGCTACCATGTGCCCCAGATAGAAGTACCATTTTTTTTTTCAAACACATTTATGATTTTTCTTCCCTCACTGGCCTCTGTATTCAGTTACTTCAGATATAAATTTATTGTGGCAAAACTACATCTTAGAACATGTCATTCCTCATATTTCTACTCATCGTGCAGCTTACATTCATAGCATATTCAGTGCCAACAAAATCGTGCCTCTCAAGTGAGACACAACAACCAATTAAGACTACAGAGCATAGCTTAATAGTCACTTGGGGAGTTGAGAAATTCCCCATTTTTATTAAACCTGAAGGCTCATTACCATATCCATTAGAGTCTATATTATCCTTCAGCATATATCTAAGTGCTTTATTCTCTTCAGTTTTTTCACTTAAAGTTCTATACGCATTTCTCATCTCCTCCCTGCACCAATCTCAACCTCTTCAATTCGATCACCTACTTCTCTATTCAGTGAAGAACACAAATTATTAATTTCCTCATTATGCAACATCTTTTTCCTACTGTTACTTCCTTTCTTATAGGTTCAAATATTCTCCTCAGCAGTACTTATTCTTAAAATACATTCAATCTATGTGCTTCCCTTACGGTAATAGACTGCATTTCACAGTACCCACATACGAGTATATCATATATGAAGTAACACACAGACAGAACATTAATTAACATTGCACACACTGCTGTGTTACAGGTAAGGCATTTGATGCAAACCACCCTTTCCACTTGCATGGTCATGCATTCCGTGTGATAGCCATGCAACGTCTTAACAGATCCACAACAGTTGAAGAAGTTAAAGCCAGAGACAAGGCAGGTCTGATCCATCGGAAACTTAAAGGAGCACCAATCAAGGACACTATCACTGTTCCAGATGGAGGTTTCACCATAGTGCGTGTCCATGCCAGTAATCCAGGTTTGTTAATATTGTCTTTAATTTATTACTTCCTGATTAAAACCACTAAATAATGTAAAAAAGATCAATGTAATAATGACATGAAAGTTGCCCTGAACTACCCATTATAGCTCACCCTAAATTTTGTGTTATATGTGAGACTGCAAAGCCCATCTTTTGCTGTGGCTGTAGACCAAACACAGGTGCTCAGCAACATCTGGCATTATAACATGAAATTACACTGTGCTTTTGGCAGTGGTTGCAAATTGTAGCATGTTACCATTTGGTTGCAGTTTCACTGTGATTGCATAATGACAACAGCAACAACCGAGGCTCTTTCTTTTGCAGCAGCATACTGTGCTGTCATTTCCCAAAACACAAGAACAAACAAGTTATTGCAACACTGTATGAAACTTACTGTCCTTAACATCTTTCAGTCTACATAATGAGAGCAGCAAGAGTTAGTAGTTAACTAAACTGTTAAGATTTTTTGATCATAATTTGCGCTATTACATACTTTGCCTATATTAAATTTATCAGACATAACATCAACATTTCAACACTTTTGCTAGACTTTGTTACTTGCATGAATTATGATTTATATCTATATTTGCTGGTATGTTTATGATGTGCACACAAAATTTCACATGCCTATCTCCAATAGTTCATTAGTTACAATTAAGACAAGGACTAAACATAGATTTTGCATGACACACAATGATATTCTGGTCGTTTGGGTTGTCACACATAAAGTGCTGTCTATGGTTACCAATGTTCTGGAACTTGCTGCTTCCATCTTTAAAATGTGGCAGCAACTGCCCATCTTCATGGCCTTGATTCAGCTATATGTGAATATATGCTATTAATATGTGTATGTAGTTTAAAACTGGAATGTCTCTCTTTTAGGTTACTGGTTATTTCACTGTCACATTGAATTCCACGTGGAACTCGGCATGGCTGTTGTTTTCAAAGTGGGTCAACATGAAGAGTTCCCATCTTCTCCGCCAGGTTTTCCACGATGTAACAATTACATGCCGTCTGAACAAGAGATTGAACAAACAAAAAGTGATATGAACAATGATGTTCGAGCCCCCATCAGCTCTATTCCAAACTGGTGGCCTTTCAAGTCAACTTCTACCAGTGGATCATCCAAGTTTTCTGTTTCTCCAGGCCTAGCCCTTTTGTTATGGCTCTGTGCAGCTGTTCGGTGACCACATCTGCCCTACAGACAGTTTCAACTGTTCTCAACTTCTCTCCTCAAAACTACAAACAAATGGAAGTGGTAGATAACAGTTTTTCCATTGCAGGGTTACAAAGGGACAGGTTCACTCTTTGGCAATGTATCACAAAGTGATGTGTTCGTCTGTCCACACCCTGATTGAACTACATGCATCAGTATGAACAAGTGCTCCATGAGACAAGCTCATTTTCAGATGATAACAGATCACAAAGAAATTCCCCATCCTTTTATGGAACTCTGAAGGTTAATTACAGCCATCACAAGAACCTGCTACTAGACCTTATCCTGAGCCAGATAAATCCAGTCCATATCCTCATACCATACGTCTTTAATGCCAATTATAATTTTATCCTTCCATCCATGTCTAGGTTTCCTCCCAGTGACCTTTTTTCTGCAGTTTTCTAACTCAAATTTTGCATCCATTTCTCATCTCATCCATACATGCTACATGTCTATATAATTATCCTTAATTTAATCAGCATAATATTATTTGGTGAAAATACAAATTGTGCAGCTTTGTTATGCAATTTTTTCCATCAGCCTGTTACTTCCTCCTCCTTAATTACAACCTTTCTCCTCAACACCCTTTTTTCAAACAGCCTCAATTATGTTCTTTTATGGTCTGAAACCCACTTGCACACCCATATTACATACATCGAGGGATCAGTTTTCATGAAATTCACTACTGAATAGGCCATTCAAGACACTGGTAATTTGTACTGTTCTGGCATATACAAAACATATGGTACGTGAAGCAAGTTGGAGGTGGAAGCAACAGTAGCACAAAGTTTTGAAGGTAAGGTAAATATGGTGATACAGGTTTCGAATGTTACAAGGATTTTTGTTTTTAAGAAACATGAACATAACAAGATGACAGCCACATTTCTATAATTTTGAATCACTGCAATTTGATCTGTAAGTTATGTGGTACAAATGCATCTGCTGGTAGTGTGAGTGATACTATGATACCAGACTATATGGCAAATGTATTTTTAGTCACGCCACACTTTGATTTTCTAATTCTTTCTGTCCTGAATTTTGATCAGGGACTTGGCCTAAAAATGACCTTTCCACACAAGTGACATTCATAAAGGCATTTTCTGTTTACAGTACAGTCAATGAATCTCAAACCCCAGAAATACATAAACTATGAATACAGATTCCATTTTCATCCCTGCTTTTGGGAAGAATTTCTTCCCCCTCTGCTTTCTCTTCTACCAGCCATCACCTGCAGTTTATACTGTGGTCAAACTAAACATGAGTCAGTCACTAATACTTAAGACACTACACTAACACATCAGATAAAGATGTTCACAGTAGGGAAAGAAACATTCTTCTTAACTCTTTGACTGGCGTGGGTGTGTTTTAACGCCCGGATGATGCCAGCCATTCCCTGGCGTTGGCGTGTTTTAAAGCTTTGACAATCTCTTCCCTTCTTTGCTCTCTTGGCACTCATCAACCAAAGACATATATATGATAGTTTTTGTGCATGTTTGTAAAGAACCCTTGTAAACTTTGTGGGGGTCTATATTACTGTCAAAACCCTCTTAAAAGGAAAAGGTCAGAAAATATTTCACATTCATTCAGTTTCATCATGGCTTCTTGCAGCAAGTGTCTTCATGTTCCTACAGACCAGCTGGAAAATGTTGTGAACGAGATTTTTTCTGATGATGAAGGTGGCGATGAAATAATGATTCCTGAATTAGATGAAGTTGATAGTGACAATAATACAGTGATAGACAATGATCCACAAGACAGTTATCATGAACATTTACCTACCACGAGTGCGGTGCCTGACACGCCCATCTCATGAACATACGGAGACATTGTACCCCCAATATTTCCATTTGCTAGTAGTTTCGGGATAAAAATTGATAAAACACATAAAATGCATCCCTTTTCATGGATTAAAATTTTTTCTGGACGACGACTTGGTAAATCACATCACAACTGAAACCAATCGCTATGCTCACCAGCACTTCAACACGCATGAGTTAGCTCCTCACTCTCGAAAACACAATTACAAATATGTCACATCAGATGAAATCTGGACATACTTAGGAATTGTGTTCATGACAGGAATCGACAAACGCCCTGAAATTGAAGACTATTTGTCCACTAGGCCCCTATTTCACACTCCATGGATTGGACAAAACATATCTTTGCGGTTGAATAGTTTCATTCTATTCAAAAAGAACACAACAAACGAAAAATACAAGAAGAGAAATTACGAAGTCAAAGATTTTATATTGGACTGTGTAGAAATATGACTGAACCAAACAAACAGTGTGGAGAGGGAGAAGAGTCGAGGAATGAAGTGGATGACGAATCTATTGCGTCAGACTCGAGTGCAGTCACGCCTCCGCCCTCGACCTTGAAAAGACCACCAGTGAAAGAGCCAGTAAATCGTCTGAAAATTCACAAAATGGTCCATGTTCCTCCCAGTAACAAGAAGAACGGTGCCCGGAGAAAGTGTTGCGTGAGTGCTAAGCACAAGATTAGAAAAGAAACAAGTGTTATGTGTGCAGGCTGTGGTGTGGCTCTCTGCAAACTTTCATGTTTCAATGTTTATCACATGAAGAAAAATTAATAAAGAGGAATGGAAAGGCATTTATTGCATAAAATATTGTCTTTTAATTAGTTCCTGAAAATTTCGTTTTTAAAAACCAATTTTTGTTGAAGTTGTTTAGGAAAAGGTAACTACATGCATTTTAGCGACATAAGGTTTAAATGGCCTGCCAGGACAGGGGTGGGATTTAAATACCCTTCGCGCCAGTCAAAGAGTCAAAGTGGCATCATTTTTATGAGAAAAAATGTCATGTTCCATGTTTCTGCTGAACAGAGCAACAAGATGAGCCAAAAAATGACAGGCAAGTATTAAATAAATTTCATACTGTCATAAATAACACTTACCTAATCTGATAGAATATATTTATTGTATTTGCCTAACTGTCCTTCATTCAAAAAGATCAGAATCTCTGCTGAAAAGACAAGAAGAGAAGCACATAAATTGCAAGAAAAGCTGCTGACACCAGGAAAAGACCATGCTGAGGCAATAAAAAATTACCATCCAGGACATGGAGTGGTGTACAATACAGGAACAAATACACCAGTTTTATGCAGCAAAGCATGCTATGCCAACTCTAGAGAAACATTCATTTCTGTAATGGCGTATGATGCAGTGAAAGAGTTAAAGCTAGATGTTAATAACATGCAAAGCGGCCTCCGTAGTCTAGGGGTAACGTTCCCACCTCATGACTCAAGGTACACGGGTTCAAACCTGGCGGAGGTCGTGGAATTTTTAAGGGCGGAAAAATTCAGAGAACAAGTCCTCCAGGAGAGACTTTAAGCTGTGGGTCCCGTGTCGTAGATTTACGGCACATAAAAGATCCTCATGTCTCTAGGAAACCTCTGAGCAAAATTAGGCAAAAGTTTCCCGCCCAAGTAGTTTCCAATGCCTCTGGTAGATGGGGAAGTTATTGGGTACCACTGCCAGCCTCGCTGGCTGAACGGGGCTGATAGCGAGCACCAGTACCGGCAGGGTATGGCAACTGGTAGAATATCAAAGGGGGATGTACAATAGACTATTAGTCGCTGTGCATGGGGAAACCCACCCCCTCCAATAATAATAATAATAATAATTACAACATGCATGATCTATTTCAGCAGGTTATATATATGCTTTCAAAGATGAAGACAGTTTATCATTTTACAAATTATTTTTAAAAAATGGAGATAAGTGATGTTAATACTGGTGGGTGACTTAACTCAAGAACAAGCAATATGAATACCAAAGAAAATAGCAGCACTCTCAACAAAATGATCTGGAACAATAATGTGGGAAAACAGGAGATCCTCTCTCATAAAATATGAAGAAAGTAATGAATACATTTTTCTAACACAAGAACACACACATTAATTCAGCTGGGGGCTCATGCTTCAGTATTAACACATCTGCCTCAAACTCCATATTCTCACTTCATGGCTCCACAGACTTCTACATGAGCATGGCAGCACATGCACACAGCCATTCTAGCAACCACAACTCCTCTCCCCAAAATCCCAAAGGAGAACTGACACAAACATACTGTGTACTACTTAATAACACGCAATGCACACTTGTTCCAGCACTCATATCAATCGCCACTTTTAACTGGGTGTCCTAATATAGCTATGCCTGTCACCACTTCATGCAGGGCTGCACAACTCTATCAACATATTTCATCAGTCATAATAGATTCAGGACAAAAGAACATGCACTGGTGATGCAAAATATCACCATATTATTGGTAAATTTAAACATTTACACCAAACCCCTTCTCATTACTATGACAGCCACTGTTGGATAATTATTTCTTCACTTTATTGTATTGAGGGAGGCCCCTTCCTGTTCAGCAATGTACGCTGCCATAAAAAGAATCCCTTGTTAGTGGGAGAAAGTCCCCCCACCCCAAACCTATATTGTATTCAGTAGTCAAAACAGTTACACAGCTATGTTCAACACAATGGTTAGTAAAAATACATTAAAATGAAAAGGTCATGCCTTTTTCTCATATAACTCACCTCTGTTTTAATATTATGCAGTCATAATTTCCTTATCCATCTGACTATAAAATTATACTCTGTAAATCTGTATTCACGTGTTATACATCACTACTTTCTGGCATGTGCTTGAGTAAATATCTGTCCTTTTAAACCTTGTCTTCACTTTTCACCAATTTCATTAAGTTTGTTCCACCATATTATTTACCTTTGTCCTGAGCTTAGCTTCCTTCTGACCCCACGTATAAGCATGCTTATGTCAAAACACCTAAACTGGACTTAACTGTTGACCTGGAAATGCAGAAAAGGATGATTTATACTGAATTCAAGTGTAAGACAATGTATTCTAAATCACAATAGTTTCTGAGGAAACAACAGTAACAAAGGTTGTTTGAAATCAATTTCATTTTGGACATTTTTTTTTACTTTATGAAATGCTTTATTATAAAAAACATTTTTCTTAAAGTTCAAAGTATGAAAATACCTGTTCACACTTGAACACACAGCTTTCCTATATTGATTGTCTTCCTTCATGCCTTTAAAAAATGACCACTGTAAAATGCTACTGGGTTTAACTGCATGACTGAGATGATCACACTGTTCTGATATGTATTATATCTGACTAGCAGAGAAAGGGAAGAGTACCAATGTAGCAAGTTACCAACCCCCCCCCAAAAAAAAATTCAGAAAATGTCTTCCACTTAAGTATATTTCTGGAACATAGAACTACTTTACACATCTACAAATGAAGCTATGAAACTCAAGATTTGTTCCTTTTGAAGCAATGCTACTCCTTTAGTCACATGTAGATGGCACTTCTGTTCTATTCTACAACTCTCGTTTTTTATCTTTAACATGTACATTTACATACTTGGGATTGCAACAAGACTAATTTCTTATTTAACTCTCCAGTGACATACTTTTTCTTCTGGAGGAGTGGGAATTTTAAATAACAGTTCCAGACTCTGCAGACTTGAGGGTAAAATGAGTTCCTTTGTTAATAAACCACTGATTCATTAATGTCCCACCAAGATGTCCAAATTTAATTTTCTGCTGATGAGAACTCTGCTCCTTTGAGAAATCTGAAGCAGCTACCCCTTTCTCACAAAACTCTGTATGTACATTCTATATATTTTCCAGGGCACAGCAATAGGCATCGTTCCCCACCCCAAGACTTTGGTGGGTGGAAGAATCAAAATTCAAGGAAATAAATATACTAAATAGTAATTAAAATATTAAAGTATTTAAAATTATTCTTCTATCCTGTATACTCCAAGGAAATCAGTAAAAACAACATTAAGTAGCTTTATTGTTCAGTTTGTATGCAAATTTTTGGGCTCCTCCACAGAAAACTGACTGCCCCCCCCCTTCTAGAAAATATCTTGGTGGAAGCCATGGGTATTTTAACATAAATGAAGATATCTGTACAACTTGTATCTGACTGCCCTTTCATATAGTAAGTAAAGAGTGTTCCCACAAAGCCATCAGTAGGAAGAATGTTACACAACCGAAAAGCACAATAGACCATTGAAGATCACAGTGCCAGGGCCAGTTTTATGGCTCACCCCTCATACTCATACACAACAGAAAGACCCAAGTTACTGAAGTGTTGTTGTCTTAGGTTGAAAACTTTCCTGTTCAAGGAATTTATTTATTTTTTTGCAAACACACCACCATTTAATGATTCTGTCTTGGGATGGCGTCCCCATATACATAAAACACTTCTGACTGTTCAATTGTGGGTTGGGATTCCCAACAATGGCAATGTCCTGGGCTAGGAAAAACAATGTTTCCTATTTCTGTATGTTTGGAAACTTAAGGGAATTTGCTGATGGAGCTCAGTTTCTCACGCTGTGTATGTCAGATACTGCTTCAGACATGAGCTACCTATTTGGTCCTGTACAACTGTTGTTATCTTACGGAAAGACAATTTTCACTTCAAGACTGACAGCCACAAGATTCGCATTTCAGCAAAGAACTGAGGGGTGCTCTTCACTTCCCCACCTAATCACATATATCTATTGAGTATTGATAGCGGAAGCTGTGAACATGCAATTTCATAGTTACATTTATATACATTCTGCAAATTTATTTTGAAACAATTATTAAAAACAGAAGATATTATAAAATTACTTCAACAGAAATCTGTCTTTAAAATATACACATAAAATAAATGAAATCTGATAAAACAATATTCATTAAAACTTACTGCTTGTAAATAATCTTTCTGATGTTGCATTACACTTAACGTCCATTATTTATCGTCCGTCAATATTACAACATTCTTCCATTCACCGCTCAATTTAATTTAACATTATACATCTTGACACTACATGTTTCGGTCCCAAACGGCCATCTTCAGGTGTCTTGATATGTTACAAATATTTTATTAAACTGTGTTAAAACTGCTACACTGTCTTAGTTCGTGTTAAAATCACACGCTGTAGTCCTCTTTTTGAGGTAAAACCAGATAAAATCCTTTAAAGTTTCTATTATACCCACCTACTAAGTAACAGTCCTGGTGTTGCCAATGCAACAGAGATTACAAACAGGCCCAAGTCAGCATTCAAACAAACTTCTGTTTTCCCAGAAATTGGCTTTGATATTACTAGTCTAGTAAAGACAACACCACATGCTGTGGAGGAAACACACAAACCAGGGGCATATGGCAGTCAGAACCGAAAAGTAGGCTATGAACGTGAGGGGCAAGCTGCCGAGAAAAACACCCTGGACAGACATACATTTATGAAAATGGACGACGCCCCATGTGAGGTGTAATAATATGCACCAAATAACGTGGGTACGAGTATAATAGAAACTTTAAAGGATTTTACCTCAAAAAAAGAGGACTACAGAGTGTGATTTTAACACGAACTAAGACAGTGTAGCAGTTTTAACACAGTTTAATAAAATATTTGTAACATATCAAGACACCTGAAGATGGCCGTTTGGGGCCGAAACATGTAGTGTCAAGGTGTATGTTTAACTAAATTGAGTGGTGAATGGAAGAGTGTTGCAATATTTACGAACAATAAATAATGGACGTTAAGTTGAACAATTGCAACGGGATGCTGAAATACAGAATCACTGCATTACACTGTTCCATTCTCGTGTCACTTGTTACCAGTTGTTACTTATTGCTATAGGTACACAAATTGCATTACCAATTTCAAATACTTCCACTGAGCACCAATGAAAAGCAATGCACCATTCATCCACACACTCACGTCTATGAAGCTGAAAAGTTCAAATCCTCTGCAGTAGTAACCGCTGACTGCATGACAGCAAATTTTGATCTCCATTCACAGTGTTATATTGATACTAATAACTGTCAATATCTATGAATTTTTTAAATATTGGGTCATTACATCAAGTGTATTTAAGATCTTATTAACTTTCTAACACACACAAATACTGTTTATGGCCTCCAGTAACGGCTATGTGCCTCTAATTTTGCAGTAAGCAGTGTATTCAAGGATATAAGGAGATTTCATTTGCCAAGCACAATATTCAAGGCCAATAAAGTTTTTTTTTAATAAATTCCAGATCCATTTCAGAAATCATGACAATACATGAAGAAGGTACTGAGAAATTTGTAAATATCATCCTAATTATTCTTTGAATGTCTCTATCAATGCAAGCAGTTATCCTATAAAATAAGTATGACGTTTTGCAACAATCACACCCAGGTTCCTAGATTTGAATTACCTCTGCCAAAAAATATTTCCTTCTGAAACAAAAGGCACAAGAATATCATTCATCCCACTAATCAAAGTGACAACACAATGCAGAAACATACTTCCTGTAACCATACAAAATAGGGATTAGTCAATTATTATGAAGTTTTGAATTGATCAAATATTTTGAGCTTCATAAAATCACAGAAAAAATGCACTGATCATCACAATGCTGTAAGCTCTTTACTTTCACAGTGCGGGGGACAGGGGAAAAGTTCAGCCATTTTACTCTAAATTTCGAGAGATGAAACCAAATTATTTTTGTCTGCTAAAACCTACAATCTTCTTAAGAATAATGCCACTGTCCACAAAGCACAGTGCTTTAAACAGCAGCAAAGTCATATGTAATAACACATGGAAAGATTTTTTGGGAAGTATAAAATAAGAAGCCTAAAATTATATATGACCAAAAATCATGAATTATTTTCAATTTCGAGACCCATAATTTCCATTTATTAAGTGCACAGTGCTTTCGTTTATATGACAACATTTTCAATTGAGTGATTTTTATATTGCAATGTGCACATTTTGCTTAATTTCATTATGACACACACATGATGCAAACAGGAATGTCATGCCTCAATCACTACTAAATAACAGTCATTCGAGGTTATTGTCACAGATTGGCACTACTGCCACACTGGTCCAGTTAGTGTAAGCCCATCAGTCTCTGAGTTTTCTACATTAGCATGGACCTCACTGGATGTACCAACTGCTAGCAGGAACTCTCATGAAGAAAAGTATCAGTCTGCACTATCAATGCGATCCTTGCTGGTAGTATCTTTTGAATGAGGCTCAAATCCATTGGCCATTCGCTGATAATGCGGTTTCCAGGAGGTACCAGGACGACTGTAGTCCAAGTGGTCATATTCCAGATCTGCACAGAGAAATCTCACATGTTTAATACTTTGATCGTAAACTCTACAGAAATGTGCCAACTGCAGATGAGGATAACAGACATTGTCATGCATACACTCTACAGTAAAATTATATGCAACGTTTTGTATCTATGATGCACTGCAGAGTTTTGATACTCTGCATCCAGTCTACTTACCCTGTCCCTCTTTCTGCTTGATTTCATCATACAAATGTTCAACTTTCCGATCGTCTTGTAGATCTTCAATACTGTGGTAAACATTCACATTTGGGTTACCTGCATCTGCCTCACGGTTCTTAGCAGAAGTGGGATGGTCATATGTCAATCCATATGCACCTACAACACCACATATTTCATTCAGTTCTCATCAATTCCAACATGATGCTGGAGAGGACACAGATCCCACTCTAGAGTTGCTCTGTGTGTGCATGTGTAAACAGATAATTCATGAAATAACTGGTTGATTAACACACCATAACACTGATTATGCTTAACTAACGAACTCATTAGAAAGCTCATGATGATGGAATAATTAACTCATCAGACAATATATGGTAAGACTAATTATAAACTCATTAGAAATCTGATGATGATCCTGTAGTACATCAAACAGAGCAGTCTCTAATTTTGCAAGAATCTGTAGATGAACAGTATTTAAAATGGATGAGCAAAATTAATTTTGCCTTTTAAAGACGTTAACTATCAATGCTGCATCAAAATGCAGCCCTAGGAATTTAGTGATAAAAGATTCAATCAACTATATCACACATACTTAAACAAAACTGTTATAAAAATTTCTGCCAAAGAGAGCCTTGGTTATTATGAACTGAAGAAGCATAAGCCATGGTTCAATGAAGAATGCTCAAAATTACTAGACCAAAGAAAACAAGCCAATTTGCAGTGGTTACAGGATCCAAGTGAAATCAATGGGGATAATCTGAACCATATAAGATGTGAAACCAGCTGGCATTTCAGAAATAAAAAGAGGGAATATCTGAAAGACAAAATTGATGAGCCTGCAATGAACAGTAAGAACAAGAACATTAGAGACATGTATAGAGGAATAAATGACTTCAAGGTTTACCAACCTAGAAGTAACTTAGTGAAGGATGAGAATGGTGATCTGCTTGCAGATTTCCATAACATTTTGATTAGGTCGAAGAACTACTTCTCTCAGTTATTGAATGTACAGAGGGTCAGTCATGTTAGGCAACTGAGCCCTTAGTACCTGGTCCTAGTCCCTATGAAGCTGAAACTGCTATTGCAAAATTGAGAAGGTATAAATCACCAGGTAGTGATCAAATTCCAAGCAGAACTTAATAAAGCAGGAGACAAAATATTACATTCTAAGATCCATAAGGTAATTACGTCTATTTGGCATAAGGAAAAATTGCCTGATCAGTGGAAGGAGTCTATCATTGTATCAGCTGACAAGAAGGGTGATAAAACTGAGTGTGGTAATTATCGTGGGATATCACTGCTATCAACTTCATATAAAATTTTATCCAATATTCTTCTCTCAAGGTTAAGTCCATACATAGACAAAATTATTGGGGATCATCAGTGTGGCTTTCAATGTAACTGATCAGATCTTTTGCATTTGTCAGACACTGGAGAAAAAATGTGAGTACAATGAGACAGTACATCAGCTATTCATAGATTTCAAGAAAGCCTATTATTCAGTTAGGGGGGAAGTATTGTACAATATTCTGTTAGAGTTTGGGATACCCATGAAACTAGCCAGGCTGATTAAAACGTGTTTAAACAAAACATATGGTAAAGTCCGTATAGGTAAACATTTGTCTGATATTATAAAAGATAAAACAACTCCGTCCAGTGTGACTGTTAAGTTTTTACTACTTCAATTCTTAACACCCTTACGTGTTTCGGTCCCTATAGACCATCATCAGAGGGACATCAATACTCTTTGGAAACCACTATTACAATGGGTGTTCTGAATGTTAAAATATATACACATACAATGTTTGGAATGCACAATATATACAAAATCCAAAGTTTTCACAACTACAGCGGTTGTCTTGGCATATTAAAGTTTTAAAACTTTAAAACCAAAATCAATATAGACATAAATTTATAGCAAAGTGACTTAATCAAACATACAACTGAGACTCTTGGAAACATCCAACATTCTCATACTGCAAACTGAAAAAAAAAATAGATTCACTTATCACTGTGACTGAAATGTATAATAAAATTAATGAAGTTAACTCTTTACACAATTATAAATTGTTACAGATGATGATATGGTAATTAAGAAGATATAAAACACACTTTAGCTATAAGAAATATAAATTATGACCGAACAGAACATGACTCTAGCTGTAAGCCATATATAATGTCATGTATTAGTGACCAGGCACAGGGTTTGCAGTGACTATTGAATTTAATGAATGCCTGATATTCGTAAATACAAATGGTTACAGCATATTCCAAGTCTTTCCAGACTGCTATGTCTCCACGTACTCATTACTTGGCAGCGGCTTCTAATGGGAGGAGCCGTTACTGCTTCCATGGATGAACCTGATACAGGTTACAAACACCTAAAACATCTGGTTGTGACAAACACAAATGCTGTGGAAAAAGGGTACATATGTTCTGTTGTACCTTTGATACTGATATCATCATCATCCTCACTGCAACCAGCACCCAGTTTCTGCCGTTCCAAGTTGGTGTTATTCTTGCTAGCACCAAGATCATTACGAATCTTCTGCACATTGTTCAACAGGAGATTGGTTCCATCATCTCCCTTGGTGCCTGGGGTCTGGTACGAGTAAACTGGATTGTCAAAGTGGTGTCGATCTGCAGACCAGACATACATGCAGAGTTGGCTAAACTTTATGTATGTGTATGCAGGATAGCTGAATGCAGTCTGAATATACAGACAGGTATTTTGTCCTGATGCAGCAGAGCTATTTCTGTCCCTCACCTAGTCAAGAAATCACCCCCCTTTATGGAACCTGAAATTCATTACCACATTCACAGGAGCCCACCATTGAACCCTATCCTAAGCCCACTGAATCCAGCCCAGCATCCCTACATCCAATTTCTTTAAGATTAATTTTAACATTATCCTATAATCTCCATCTATGTTGCCCTTCCCTAGAAGTCTCTTGATTAAAAGCTTGTATGCTTTTCTCGTTTCCGTTATGTTTGCTACATATTCCACCAATTTCATCCTCCTTAATTCAATATCTTGTGGAGAGTAGAAATTATGAAGCTCCTTGTAATTTACGTTTTTCTTTCTAAAGTCCAGTCTCCTCTGTACTTTGTTCCATAACACACTAGATATGAGAGACTAAGTTTCACACCCATATAAATGATTTTGTCCCAAGTACTACGATGTATTTTAAACTCAGTTAATGCAATTTACATACTGTATGTCATGTTCAGGTATGTTGTTCCCTTTTATATTCAACCAATTTCTTGTGGACACATAATGCACATAATATACAACAATCTGTACTTTCTGGAACAATAACTTCTGGCATGAAAGCCATACTTTGCCAATTACAGATTATGCTTAATCTATGCTTACTGTATTATGTGGTTTGATTATTTATATATCAACACTTTTACTTAAAAGTGTAGTAATTAGGAATAATTATTAATATACACCGTATATTCAATGTATAAAGAGGTGATGTAGGCAATCTAAATACTTTAGCTAATGGACATAATTAATCAGTTTCAAACTCTAAACATTACTGTCATACAGGGTGGCTCATGGTATAATGTTTCTGACTTATATTCCAGAAGCACCCAATTCGAATCTCAGCTGGACAAAGATTATCCTGACAGATTTTCTGTAGTTTTTCTCAGTCACTCTATGCGTGTGCCAGGACGGTACTTCAAACTTGGCCAGAACTGCTTCCATCTGTATCTTTTCCAATAAATTATTTGCTACTATTATCCAACTGTTCAAAGCTATACAGCCTGACCTACTGACATCATAAAATCCACTACAAACAAAAAACTAACCTTCTTCCCAATCCAGTAGCATGCTGTCACTTCAACATCTGATCGCAGTATATACCATGCCTGCCATATCATACCACCATGTGACACACATATTAAAACCAATGCAGACATAACTTAGACAGGGCCATTAATTTTCATGAAAATATATCTTCTGGGATATAACACCATGTAGTCTGTTGAAAGTTAACCAACATTTTGGAGGAACATGTCACTTCCATTTTCAGGGTCACAGAATAAGCAAACCAAGAAACAATAACAAAGTATGTAGCAAGCAGAACTTCGCTGTCTTTCAACAGACTACATGTTGTTACATCCCAGATGACAGACGTCTTCACAACCATCAGTCTGAGAACGACAAATCCTACATTCCTAAATATGTTCAGCATTACCTGGTGCAACCTGAGGATCAGCTATGTATTGTACATGGGCAATCTCTGTCTTGAGGTTCGCAACACGGCGCCTGTAGTAGAACAGCAGGGCCACTATGACAGCCACAAGGATCAGTGCTACAACAACACCAGCTACCATGCTTCCATAGTTCTGTCCTTCCTTTTCCTGTACATTCTTGGAGTACTGTAGTGTATCACAATGTTCGCCTGGAAACAACCACAGTCATCAACATAATCACCATGTACCTGCACTGTTAATCAGTTAAGTTTGGACCAGACCAAACGGAATTTTTCCAAACAATATGACAACAAACAAACAGGCATGTTTATGCAAGATGCCTGTCTACTGAACTTCAACTGGAAGGCAGGGAGATATGAAGACGTTAGACAACACTGTTGATGGTGCACACTTCATGGATATTACTACTACATTCACGTTTTTTAATCTATGAGTTTTAGGCATATACTTTATAAGATATAACATGGATCCCTATAAATATATTCAAGACAGATCTGTCTTGGACTTACACTTGCAGATACACTACAAAATCTATTTAGGCCCATGATCAATGTGGATCATAAAATGAATTAAAATGTATGATACATGTCATGGTATCTGTATAACACTAGAGCTGTCCTTTAAATTGCATCACATATGACAAGATTCTAAATATACTGTAATAGTATGTTCATACTATAAGGCATAATGGTACTTATAATTAATCAGAATAAATCAACAACAGAAATGTACCAGACAGGAACTTATCTCTCCAGTCTCAGGCCAGATACAGGGCTCTTGTAAGTCGCAAGCTGTCTCACTCATGCCCAATTCAGTAAACATATTCATGCCACACTGACTGTATGATTCAAAATGTGATGCACAACAAAACATACCAAAAGCAATTCATAATTAGAACCCATACAAAAGTTGTTTTTGCTTTTCACCCTTTCTTAACTGTTTAAATGGACTCCTTAAATGGATGGTTGATAATACATGATGAATGAAAAAGGACATGGAAGCAAGGTAGCATCCCAGCATTTACATGGACACACTAAGGAAAGTGATGAAAAACTTCAGTCAGGAGAGCTAGCATGTGGGATAAGAACTGAATCCACAAGTTCCCTAGTACATAGCAGGAGTACTAGCCACTCAATTGCAATGTTTAAATTAAAGATATGAGCATCCTATTTCTGAATAGGGTCATAAATATCAGTTATTACGTATCATTTGTCCATAGCAAGCTGTTTATCTCATGACAGTGTTCCAATTTGCTGGACAACCCACATAAAAGTGGAAATACTGAAGAACAAGAACGAAGCGTTTAATTTGCTTAAACACTTTCTGAGAAATGTCAATCAATCCAGCCTTTATGGTCTGTGCATTTCAAAACTGTGACAGCAAGTCAGCAGGCTAGTCATACATGCATCTCTATGCTGTGCCATTTAAAAATCCCTTCCACTGAAATCAGCCTACAGCAGCAATAACACTGGAGTTCTCCAGTTCACTGTATAGACTTCTTCTATGCTTTCATGCTGTGACGTTACTGGGGTCATTCTTGGCCTGAAAGGATCAGGCTCCAATCACATTCTGTTAACCTTCCAGTGCCAGGCGACGTACATAGCACGTCGGCATTTAAATGCCACATCTCGCCAGGCGACGCTGTCATGCGTCTTGTGCTGCTTTTCATGTAAAGTAATACTTTTGCTATGAAATGAAAGAGGAAATTTCTGTCTATCATTTTGTATATTCGTTATCCAACTTTGAACTTCCCGGGGTATTTTTTTTTATATTAGAAGTCTCCGAAGAAGTTCCGTAGCTTGCCATCTAGGTTGCAGTATTGCCGTACAAATCTTTCTCCATCTCTTGGAGAGTTAGGAACTAAATATGCTAGGTTTATAGACTGTGACCTCCTTGCGTGTTGGTTGAAGCAAAGTCTGTGATCTCTCTGCGTGTTGGTCGATAAAAAAATCGATTTCCATTCAGCCAGTGACGAGTGCTGCTTCTTGAAGGGAATGAGAAACCACGTGTAGAAAACCTAACAAGAAAGATACTTGACGCTGACCTCTGTTATGACAGCAGTTAGATATGATAATCAAATGCTTTGTTTGCATTCCTTGAGGTTCTGTTTGTTGCACATAGCTAATACAGTTTGCATGTAGCGGCCATTGCTGGGACAAGCAAGAGACGTTCAGCTGTGTTGAGTGACGAGTGATTCCGAACAAAGTCTGCCAGATTCGGATTTTGACACTGAAAGCAAGTTAGATGATCGTGCCTTGATTGAAGCTGTTGGAAATGAGGGCAGCATTGTGTGTTTCCGCGACTACCACACATAGCTAAATTTTTAAGGTAATACGATACTATTGTTAATAATTTGTATACGCTTACTGGCACAAAAATAATTTGAAAGTAGTGTGGGTCAATACATTAATTCTACATACTTCTCTGGACGTTGTGTGAAAATCTGAAAAACAAAACTCCAGTTTTTCCCCGTTTATTAAGCTTTAAGTTAAGTGCTGCATTCTCCGATTAAATTATTTAAATAGCCCCGGCATTGGAGTGCAAAAACGATTTAAATGCCCCCGGGACTGAAAGGTTAATATGTCTTAGTCACACTCATGCAAGGTTTTGCTAATTGAGATTTCAGGGGAAGGGGGTGGGGGTGGATTGGGTCAGTAGGAATGTGAAAATAAATAAGTTCTGATTTGGATATTTTAGGAAGCATACAACATAAATATTTTTATTTTACTAAAATCATTCAAAGTTAAAATAAAACCATTAAATCTGACTGCCAATATCATGTTTTGGGGGGCTTAAATCCTCTAGCTTCAGTATAATAAAGGTGAAATATGAAATTTACGTGGTCAACTCCCCATTATATAACCTTAAAAAGTAAACAAACAAGAATCTCATACCTGACTTCTCTTACAATTATAAGAACCATACCTGTAAATCCCTGCCGACACACACAGCCATCCTTCGCATGACACAAGAAGTTCTCATTGGGGCATTCACACGGCATCATGCAGTGGTCGCCATAGTAACCCTCAGGGCAAACTTCAAACATAAAAACACGGTACACAACAGGATGCAAACAGCGAAGATAAAAACATGTTATATTGCTTGTGCAAGGAACAATTTTGGCAATATAACTGAACACTGCAGCAGCCCTGTTAGATGGAGAAAGAAGACGTACTGACCAAATTTACTTCTCTGTGGCCCAGAGTTCCTTTCACAAGATGGCGAAAATGTGGCAGATTTCAATAGGAATACAAACATACACCTTGGCAAGAACAAGCAAATATTCCCAACTGCATCTGCTGACAATGTGAGGAGTACATACTTACCTGAACAATAGCATCAGTACCAAGCAATCAGATATCTCCTCAGAAAACACATAAAATACAATTTAATTTCAGTTCATTTCAAAAAGTGTCACAGCTAATTTATGTTCCAAAACACTAAACACCATCACAAAGGTGACTGCTGTCCTACTTGCTCCTTGTATCTCGTATAGTTATTAAAAAAGTGTCTTCTTATTCCGATCAAAGAACATTAAACAAGTGAAATAAAAATGATTAGAAAAAATATGTGCACATGCACATATTCTCTTCCTTGCATGTGTATGCATGCGTGTGCACACACCCCTCTCCCTTTCTCTCTGAGAACAGTAGTTTTAGTTCATCAAGCCAATTACAATGGACTGAACATGCACGTAAAACGCGGGAAAAAACACCATAAGCAGAATTTTCACTTCCCTTTATTAGTCCACTTTACTTATTTTGAAAAAATAAAAGGCTTACGAGATCACCTTGCTGTCTGTGAGCCCATATGTGTATCCCCCCACTGCTGTTAGGCAACGGCTTGGTAAACATGTTCCTGCAGCAACAAATATGCATGCAACAATAGAAGAATTGTTGGACTCCTCATTTCCTATGCTGTCCTTGTCATATCAAAGAACAGTAGACAATTTATTCTTCCAAGAACTTCCTGTTCAGAATAGGGAAAGTGGCCTAAAAAATCTGCACATTTCCTTCCCAAAATGGGGGGGTGGGGGGCACATTACATGAGTAAACATGACAGTATCAACAATAAGCTACAACAATTTATTCTTACGAGATCTTCCTGTTCAAAACAGGGAAAGTGGACTAAAAAATCTGCACATTTCCTTCCCAAAATGGGGGGGTGGGGGGCACATTACATGAGTAAACATGACAGTATCAACAATAAGCTACAACAATTTATTCTTACGAGATCTTCCTGTTCAAAACAGGGAAAGTGGACTAAAAAATCTGCACATTTCCTTCCCAAAATGGGGGGTGGGGGGCACATTACATGAGTACACATGACAGTATCAACAATAAGCTACAGCAAAAGAAACAACAGAAGTAAATGCAAGTGAGTTGGAGGTGCATCAAAGTTTATATTCTTATCATGAGCTCAGTATGCAGGAACTCACTTTCAGTACACTGTGCACCAATCCATCCTGGTGGACAGCGGCAGAGACCATCATTGCGGCGACACTTGCCACCATTCAGACACTTACAATGCTGACTGCAGTTCATACCATACGTTCCAACAGGGCAGGCAATGGAGCAGTTCTTCCCTGTCCAACCAGGCAGACATTGACATGCGCCTAAAGAAACGTATCAGAACATTTAAACGCTGGCTTAAAAACAAAGCAACCAGAAGCCTCAATACCAGCATAAAATTTTGCAAAATTACTAACGCAGTTATGAACAAAAGTTAATAATATAACTTCCCCATATTTTTCTAGAGCTAAAATTTGTTCAGAAAATGTATTAATAAAATGTCCCCACCATCCTAGCATATTACACAACATGTTTAAATACAAAATGGAAATTTTAACATGAACACCTAATATGAAACTCATAAACAAAATTTTTGTGGCACCATTTCATGTGTTCTAGTTTCAATTGCAATTTACATAATGCTACAGCAAAAACTGCAAAAATCATTCTGAAAGAAAGATATCTGAAAAAAAAAATCTCCATCCCCTCAAAAATGACAAACTATCGACCTATAGAAAGAAGATGCTTATAATCCCTATTAAAAAGAGAGATGCGTGAGTTTTGTAGTAGTGATGGATAATTAGGCAGAAAATAACAGGAGAAATTACACAATGATGAAAAATGTATACATATCGCCTAGTTTTGTCTGGGTGATCAAATCACAAAACATGAGATGGTCAAGTGATGTAGCATGAGTGGGGGACATAAGAAACAGGTTGTACAGGTGTGAAATGAACTGTACGAGGCCAAGATGAATCTAATGACAACCTTCTGCAACAATGGTAATAAATTTTCAAGTTCTATAACAAACAGGAAATTCCTTTATCATATGAACTACACAGTTAGTTAAAACAGGCCAATAATGTTCAGAAGGGTGATGACAATGATGATGACACATACAATTATTGTGTTTCTGGACATTATCCATGATCCTGCATTTATTTGAAAAACACGTTTCAGAGACTGGATACTGTCTCATTCTTCAGGAAAACCTACTCACAGTTGGGCAAATTCTCTATCTCTTTAGGGATGACTTCTATTCCAACAGAAAACTGATTTCAACAACAACATACATGAAACAGCGCAACAACATACATGATAGGCCTCAAGTGTGTGTGTGTGTGTGTGGAGTTTTTTTAATGTTTTTAATGCTTGTCTTAACTCTTGCAGATGGTTTATGCTGTGCTTTATTCTATATATTCTATCGTGTGTTGGCGCTGGTGCCCAGAGATAGGGACCAGCTATATGGACTGGGTCCAACTGAGTACGTTTCACCTGAAGATGGAGACAGAATTCAGTATCCAAAATGCTGTGTTTTTTAAATAAATACAGACTATGTATAGAACCATAGTAATTGTATTTACATATCATCGTCACAAACTGTCAGATCTTATGATAACAGATATTGTTCACCTTTGTTGCGTAGAGGTGTTCATCACTTCTATCTCTTGCATGGAAGTTAACCTGTATTATGACAGAAACATCTGTTTCAGATTTTGCTATGAGTACAGCGAATCTCACTACACTGAACAAAAAAAAAAATGAAGAATTCCTGAAAATGGTGAAGGAGGTTAATCTGCTAGATTAAAAAGCATCAGGGACATGACGAGAAAATTATATTTATACAGACTGTACAATCAAAGTCACAAGACTCACACCAACCTGTCACATGGTGGCAGTCAGCACCATTCTTGCATGTGCACTTCTCCAAACAGTTTAGTCCGTATGTTCCAACAGGACACGGATGTTCACAAGTGAGTCCAATATAGCCTGCCCGACACACATATTCACCAGTAACATGGTCACATGTCCAGTTCCCTACAGGATCAAACAGTTCACACAGTCAAATAGTAATATGGGGGCGGACCAAATTCAAAGCCTCGTATCTACAATTACAAGATTAAGGAACATGTGATTCAAAGAGTGAATAAACAGACCGAGAGAATACACTTCACAGAGGATCTCAACATATTTAGTTTATAAATGAATAAGAATATACTGCGGCATGCCGCCTAAAAGCCAGAATAGCTGAGTCAAAGCATGAGGCCACTGTTAGGCAATGGCTAGGTATCCACGGTTCCGTAGCGCTGTCTGGGTGACAATAAGCAGTTGAAGCGACAACGAATACACTAGCTAACACATGAAATGAAACCCTTCAAGGTGTCTTCTAGCCTGTCCGGCTGTAGAAGATAAGAGACAAAACACATGACAGGGGAGTCAGTGGTGAACAGAGCAAAGCTGAGAAACAAGCTCAGCCAAGATCAGAAAGATTGGAGTGGAGATCTGAGAGCAGATCAGAGAAGACTAGATCACAGGTCAGACGAGAGATGATAAGACTAGTCAGGTTGCATTGTCTGGAAGACGTGATTTCAGAGTGATTGTAATTGTAACTGTAAACAAGTTATCCAATAAATAGCTTTGTCTAATCCGGAATCCACAATTATTTGTGATGGAACCCGGACAAATGAAAACACAATTACAAAAAAAAAAAGTTGCAATAAAAGTGTGTGCCTTGACAAACTTACTGGTTCAAGCAAAAATACTGAGAAAATCACATCTGGAGGCTTAAGCAATAAACACAACAGACATGAAACATACTGGCTGCACACATGTCGATCCCTCCTCAGATGAAAACAGATGCTGGTAATTGGTTTCCTTTGTAGTAAAAGGTAAATGGCAGCATACAGTCTTAACATACTGAGCTACATGGCTGCTCATACTACTTCCTGCTCCCAGATCCTCTTAAAAAAGAGCAGCATTTTACAACACAACAAACACTCCTTCATTTATCCACATACCTAAATGATTTTAGGATTGCAGTGTACATAAACATTTAGGGAACATATACTATATGTATTTACACTACTTACAAAATCACCAGTTTCATTATTAGTATTAAAACAGAATCTATCTTCTTCACATTGGACAGAGTTTTGTTATTAAACAAATTATTCTCATAATCAACTTGGCACGGGATCGAACTCCTACACGTCAAACACTCTTTGTTACTGAACAAAATATTCTCACTGTTGATTACAGACTCAGCATCACTAAAATTAGCTACCTGCATCCAGATTAACCCTTTGACCATTCCACCATGGATATTCCAGGCTAGTGCAGACTGAAATGCAGTGCTTCACTCAAGATATCCTGGCTCAATATCTTAAACTCATCTGATGAAATGTATACTTCTTCCAGTCCTGACAAGTCAGTGAGTTAATTTCATCAAGATTTCAATCATTGATCCATCTGTCAATGCCATGTAACATCAAGAGTTAAAAAAATAAGGTAATGAAGCTAAATCTGGAAAGTTTTGAAATGTGGTGTTGGAGAAGGATGGAGAAGATCAGTTGGACCAATTATGTGAGAAATGAAGAAGTGTTAATTAGAGTCAGTGAGCAGAGGAATATCCTACACAAAATAAGAAAATGGAAGGCTAATTGGATTGGTCATGTTTTACGCAGAAACTGCCTTCTAAAAGAAGTTATTGAAGGAAAGATAGAGGGGTGGATAGAAGTGACAAGAAGACGAGGAAGAAGACGTAAGAAGATGCTGGATGACCTTGGGGACAGAAGAGGATACTGTCATTTGAAGGAGAAAGCTCTAGATCGCATTAAGTGGAGGAATTGTTTTGGAAGAGACTGTGGACCTGTCGTCTGACAGATTACTGATGATGATGATGATGATGAATCAAGCTATCAGTCGAAGTTTATATGCAAGAACGGATGTTCATTTGGGAACTACACAGCAAAAGTCAGTAAACATATGTATATATCAACATACTACAACATATTTATCAGTATTACTAAAATATCGCTGAACTAACTTCCAGTATTGATACAGTTCCCTTACCGTATATCATGTCAGGACACTTCTCCTTGCAGCCAAGTCCATAGTATCCCTGTTTACAAGGGCTGCTACAGTCTTCTCCCTCCCAGCCACGTGCACAGGCACACTGTCCAGTCACTGGATCACATGAGCTGTTATTTTGACATTCACATACACTGCTGCAGTCCTTCCCATAGTGTCCCGGTGGACAGCGTGTCTCACACTGGACCCCACCCCAGTCTGGCTTACACAGACATGCACCAGTCACAGGGTCACAGCCAATGCTGTTGTCATCATGACAGTTGCACACGAGGCTGCACTCCAGTCCAAACCATCCAGACTCACACTTCCGCTCACACAACTCACCCATGTAGCCTGGTGCACATGTGCATGTCCCTTAAAACAAAAACACAACTCTCAATAGAGTGCAAGTCCATGTCTACATTTTAAATTATTTTTATCAGCCTAGTCATTTCTATATATACTGATCTAAAATAAATAACTTCCTCATGGAATTGCAACAGTGGATAGTTTCAGAGTAATGTACGACACTATGACAAACAACCGAAGGGTTAAACGTACTGAATTCATGCTGCATACACTATGGGAATGTGCTACTGTCCATCTTCATGTGAATCCATATCAGCAGTGATCTTGGTGAATGAATAAAGTAAGTAAAGGTACTCCTGTAACAGGCCATGAAGGCCCATAGGGTTGTGAGGCGTTAAGGGTCCCACATTATATAGACAATCAGCTTACAGATGGCGGTGAGGTTAAGTAAAGCTATCCCTGTAAGAGGCCGTCAGCCTTACGCGCCGGCCGCACTTTACTCCCCAGGAAAATTATTTAATTAATTCCTAGTACTCATTTCTGTTAGAGCCTGAGTCGATCCCAGGGCCATAGTACGGCTGGAAGGATTAGATCAATTGAAAAAAAATACAATGACCTCATCAGGACTTGAACCTGTGACCTTCCGGCTTGTAGCCTAGTGCCTCAACCAACTATGCTACCGTGTGCCCTTTGGTGAATGAGTCTTCATGCAATTTTGCATTAGTAACTCTAGTGGAAGTAACACAATTTAGAAAACTGAATACTGATCATTGTTGTGTAGATGGTATATTCTATACTTTATATCTTATTTATGACACACAACAGGATGCACAGTATTATGATAGAAAATTTCCCCCAGTCAGAGTTACTAACATAACTGAAGGCCTTAGCATAAAGTTTTATGTTTATCTCATTAACTGCATGTTATACCATGGCACTTAAAAGAAAATGTAGACTTTAATGACAACCAGACTCCATGTTATACTGCCTGAATGTACACTGCTTTTCTTGTATAAATATTACATGTACCTCTGAATATTACCTGACATGAAGACACCAGTATTATAGGCCTTGAGAATCAGAGGATAACAACATATTTAGGTATTTAAGAACCTCAATTGTTACTGAAGCATATTTCAACATTCAGCTTAACTGTCAGATGTTAATAACACACAGCTCACTAATTTATTCAGTTAAATGCAGAATAAGGTAAAAAGGCAGTTTTGAGGAAAGTCACATGACATGTAATAGTCTGGATCAATGATTCAGTTCTGAGAGATACTATATGTAATTGTAAAGTGTGAAGTATGAAGCACAAATATATCCCTGTTTATCCCTGCTCCCTACTTCTAAATGAACAAACATCATTCCTTAGCTCCATAACATAAGAACACTGACATGCACATGAAAGTAAGCGGAAAGATCACACAGTAAAATACAAACCAAGAGACCCTACCTGTAATGCATTTCAAGTCCATTTGGAATGAAGCAAGATCTTAATTTCTTTCCCTTTAGAATCAGCTAAATATAGAGGTCCTAGCATACTGTTACATTTAAACTGTGCTTAGCACAACTGTCATATCTTCTGCTCTGCTATTCGGACTAACATTTCATTGGATCTGTCACTTTAACTCTTTCAGTGCCACTTTTAAGAAACCTCATACTTGCATAAAAAATGCAATCAAAATTTTTCTTTAATTTGTGATATAGTAAAGCACTTATGTACCTGCTACAAAAAATGAACACTTGTATTTATCACCACTGCTGACAGAGATGTTTGCCACTGAATGTCACAGTGAGTGGCACCACTCCAGCTTTACATATGGGTGGTCTTAGGCTCAATGGTTTTCCTCATGCTGTTCCAAACATCTTAGTATCATGAAATATTTCACAACTGCTTCCTCTCTCATCCTCCCCAATTCACCATTCATGAACAATACTTATACTTGATGCTATGTCAGGCATTAAATAAAGCAGTCACAATCAGACGTCTGCTCCTTTCACCAGGCATTATAAATGAGCAGGGAATCCAAAGAGATGGATATGAGATCAATACAGTGCACACTGACACTTTATGCAACTATTCTCTTACAGACACTCTAAACTGTCTCTTAGCTGTGTAGAGGCTAATCGTTTCTGGCAAGTTTTTACATAAAGAAATCATTCAATTGTTTTCTAATTTATTTACATTTATATATATATAAATATATTCAATTGTTTTTTCATTTATTTTTATTTATACACATAAATTAAAAAAAAATTGAATGATTTCTTTATGTAAAAACTTGCCAGAAACAATTAGCCTCTACACTGCTAAGAGACAAATTTAAAGTGTCTGTAAAAGAATAGTTGCATAAAGTGTGTCTGATTTCTCTACTTCACATAGTCTGTACAATGAGTTTCAGGTATACTGAATTTGTTTTCTAATAACTTAATTCCTTATGGTGGGAAAATATTGTAAACAAAGTGAAACGCCACAGTGTCTGGACTGTGACAGCCTGTATAAAAGCTGTTGATCATCTTACCAGGGTTCTTCTCCTGTGAGCGCACAATAAAATGTCACTAAGGTGTAGAACTCATGCCTAATAACGGTCAGATTTACTTTCACTAACATACTATGTCGGCTGCAAAACTGTGGAAATTACCACATTTTCACAATTTATGAAAGGTAAAGCTATCCCTGTAACAGGCCGTGAAGGCCCAAAGGGTTGTGAAGCACTGAGGCTCTCACATTTTCTCTAGACAATTAGCTAACAGATGGCAGTAAGGTTGTCAGCCTTATGCACCGGTTGCCCTTTAGCCCCCCCAGGAAGATTCCTGGTACCCATTTCTCTTAGAGGCTGAGTCGAATCTAGGGCCATAGTGCAATCCAACCTTCCAGCTTGTAGCATAGTGCCTCAAACAAATATGCTATCACTATTTTGAGATAAAAATATATGGATGCTTATTTTCTTCCAATAATTTATGTACTTTTTATTTGTATAAAGGGAAAAAGAGTACATACAAAACACACAATGTCTTTGTTAAAATGAAGCAATGCAAGCAGCAAGTAGAGTGCTTGCTGCTTGGCTCCTTCTTCCACCATGTAGATGGAAGCAATATCTTCCGCCAAAACATCAGTAAACTACTAACAGACTAAATGGTATCACATCCCATAAAACAGCAAGTACTCTCTATAGAAATTAAGTTGCTTGTGATACTGCCTTTCTCAATCCTAAGTTCAACTCCATGTGTAAATCCAGTCCTATTTATGCAGTTTATCCCCTCAAACTTTTAGCGGTAAAAGTTATTGTGTGTGGGGGGGGGGGCAGTTGTGAAAATTTTGCAAACAAATGTACTATTCCAGTCAATGTAAATTACCAGAGATAACCCGAGATAACCCAAAGCATCAGCAGGTTCCCACAAAAGCAGAATAAAAGAATTATGAAGCTGAGGCCCCACTGAAGCTGGGTGCTGGTATATTACAGACAGCCCAGAAATGCCACCACCTGAATAAGGCAGAACAAAAATGTTAAGAAAATAAAACACACACCATTCTGGGGGTTGCACGCTGCGTTGTTGAGACACCTGCATGGTGAGTTGCAATCCCGGCCGTAGAATTTCTCATTGCAAGGTCGGTCGCACTGCTGACCTTCCCAACCTGCGAGACAACATTCCCCCATGTGCTTCTCACAAACATCAACAAGTAAAGCCAAAATAAGTAAATAAATAAAAAGAAAACAAATATAAAATGGAAAAGTAATAATAAGATAGGCAGAATATAATCAGTCTGCAAACCAAAATAATGTCTCACAGCACAAGCCACATGTTGCCAACCTAAGAATATATGGTGACAGCAGTCTCTATTGGATGAGTAATACATGCAAGATCTACTTTGCCTTGGTTGAGGTGACATCTGTCACATCTGTAAAACACTTGTCATCTCTGGATCATTTTCATTAATTTTTAAACACTGTAGCAGAACCCCCACCCATTTGTATGGTTCTGAAACACAGTCCCGTTCCTCTTACAAAAAACTACAAATTGAAGAAATATTTATTTTGACCCAAGAAGCAAGGGGAGAACGTATGACTAGTCAATTCAAGATTTATGATGGGCTGGACATAAGTAAGGCTAAAGGAAGAAAGAATCATTCTTTGGTTATTTAAAAATGTTCTTTACCTGCTCAGGTTACATAACAGCAAATGGTGCAAATTATGAATTGGAAAGGATGTGGAAGAAAGTAGTTGTGGCTTATTTATGTCATAGCAGTTGCTGGAGGGACTAAGGAAGACCAAGAAAGACCTACTTGGAGAGTTGTTTCAAGCTTGAGAACTCAACTTGGAACTATACCTAACAATAGTGTTTGGTGGGGCACATGGACTCTGAAGTTCACTGGGAGAAACTATTTCTACAGTGCTATTGAACAAGTCAGTTCTAATGCCATAAAGGCTGTTAATGAATTGGTTAAGAAGTTAATCTGTTAACTAATTAGTTACTTAAATTAGTATCAGAATATGTTTCCTTAATTAACGTTCACAACATTTTGAAAAGACTTCTCAATTTGGCAATAACTTAAATACAATGTGTGCAACATGGTTTAATATTATGAAAGATTCTATATAACAGACATTTAGCTGTATGTAACTGAAGGGCACTCTTTAGGGCACTTCATGTTAAATGAAACAAACTCTCCTAGCCAAGAATGACATAACCTGAACCTGATAAATGCTGACAGTATAAAAGCCATAAGCATTAATGACCATACTTGATATTGGGTTTAAATTTACATTTGTGAGAAAAGTGAATATGGTACAGGTACTGTACTGCTATTTAAAATTTGTGCCACATGAATACAGGGGCAAACGGGGTAAGCATGCAAACCTCGAGGTGGGGAATAAACACATAATGAAGCATTAGTCATGCATTACATCACAATGCCATTCATAAATAAATTCTGTCTGTTCATCAAGAAGAAAGCATGACCACTGAGAGATTCTGGCAGGGATGGTGTGCAGTGGAACACCACATTTAGTGACTGTTGGATCACGACTGGTTATGCTGCTTGTTTACCATATCATTCAAAAGCTAGGTCCTGCTAAAAGAATTGCTCCATCACTATTCATATAGGAACATATCAGGATGACATTTCTCAGCAGTTTTACTTGATTTGGAGGTATCTTTTCTGTTACATGCTAACATCTTGTAAGGACAATGGAGTGATTCTCTTAGGTTGCATGAGGACACACAAACTGCGTTACGAACTGTCCACTGTCTGAGGTATACTTAATATAGAGAACATTTTGGGAGATGGTTTTATTCCTGTCTTTTGGTGACTGGTTGCTATCCCACTCACAGATATATTTAATTTTGTTTGTCTATTCGTGGCTGAATTTGAATGCATGATAGAATACTTTACAATTCAGTTCCATGGAAGGCTAGACTTTAAGATTTTGTTGTATTGTATGATTAATTGTTCTGTCATATTAATGCTACAATGTGTGTGCAGAAGCATAGAGAAGCAAAAGAACAGCTGCTTCAAATGAAAACAAAATAAAAATCATGTGAAAGAAAAATTTTCTCATGGAAGGGGAGGAATATGTAAAATGCCATGCAAGGACTGACATAATTAATGAAATATTAATACCTGTGCATTCTTCTTTCAGAAAAATGACTGCATTGTGGTATTTTAGAGGAATGTTTCCATTTCTGTATACAATGTGTATCAATGTTTCAGCAAGGCAGAAGAGTGTCAGTATCTGTTTTCTCCCATTTCAAGCAGTAAACTCACCANTGGAAGGCTAGACTTTAAGATTTTGTTGTATTGTATGATTAATTGTCCTGTCATTTTAATGCTACAATGTGTGTGCAGAAGTATAGAGAAGCAAAAGAAGAGCTGCTTCAAATGAAAACAAAATAAAAATCATGTGAAAGAAAACTTTCTCATGGAAGGGGAGGAATATGTAAAATGCCATGCAAGGACTGATATAATTAATGAAATATTAATACCTGTGCATTCTTCTTTCAGAAAAATGACTGCATTGTGGTATTTTAGAGGAATGTTTCCATTTCTGTATACAATGTGTATCAATGTTTCAGCAAGGCAGAAGAGTGTCAGTATCTGTTTTCTCCCATTTCAAGCAGTAAACTCACCATTATGAACACATTAACAAAGATCATGTACCTCACAAAATAAAATGTAATGAATTTACATATGCTGTTAACTTTTGCACAAATGTGGATTAAGAGGCTCTATAAATTGTGAATCCCCTAATTCTGCTATCTTCTTACTTCTCTTTCTTGAGAAGCAACAAGAACATGACTGAGGAAAATAGAAACATGAGTTACCTAAATGCAAAGTGCTTTAGAGGTAAGCTTACTGAATACAGGCAGCTTTCCTCAGCCAACTACTGCGTAATATGGGAGACATAACAAACTGTCACTGTCAAAAAAAAACAAACAGATGCAGTGAGAAGCCTAACATGCAAGACAATTCTCTCTTACCTCTAAGCAGCGCCATTTTCTTTCTCACCTGTTCTGCTGCCAGGTAGTAAAAATTTTATATTTATTGCTTAAGATGTCAGAAGACATCAATATCATTAATACAATCGTATGATTATGGTAAAGATCAACAGCTGTGGTCCTGATAAGAGTTCTTCTCTAACTGACAAATACTGGCTCTTTCTGAAAAGATGCTCCACTTTTAATTGAATATAACTATGTAACAACATAGTAAACATAACAGCTTTCAGTGTGTCTGAGCTCAGAAGTCTTGAAAGACAGTCACATATATGCATTTTCAATATATGCACCATCAGGGTCTATGACCATCTGCACTAGACAATGGAAATTTTCCACAAACGCATCCACACTTTGTTCCAGGACAATGATCATTGTTGCCAAAATGTTTTGTTTCAGTTCTCTGATAGTGCACAGCTTCTTTTTATTGGCTGTGTCTTTCAGAAGGCTCAAAAGAAATAACTGCATGTGTGAAGATCTGAAGAGTTTGGTGGCCACAAGCACCCACATCTGAACCGTCTGAGGAAATGATTAGACAATATTCTATCATCAAAATACTCACTGAGCACATTCAAAAATGCATTTGCAGTGTGTGGCTGAGCCCATCTTGTCAAAAAAAAAAGTTTCTCCAGAACTGACACCCATTCCTTGGAGAAATGGAAGAAATTCTTCTTGATGGGCATGGAGGTAATGGACACCAGTCACAGTAATGTCAAAAGAACAGGCCCATCCACTTACTAATAGAACACACCACACCATTCATTTTTCTGGGTGTGTGTTTTCATCATGTTATGGAGGTGTCCACTGGCCCACAAATACATATATATTCTGCTTGTTCAAATATCCATTCAAATGAAAACTGGCCTCATCATTAAACGACATGCTTTGTGGTACCACTGGGCTGTCCTTAAAACACCTTGAAGTTACCTCTCTTGGCTTCATCGGATCCATGACAGGCTCGATGCATTTGAATTTTGATTTGAATTTTGTAAGGAAACAGTTTCACACCTTGAACTGCCCAGTATGTTGATGATGCTCCAAAGCTGAGCTTCTTATTGTTGAGCATGCTTTAACTCGTTTAAAACTTGTTACCTAAGCTTTTTTTTTTTTTTTGCAGGCCTGCCTTGGTGCTTTCCTGCGTTCAAATTTCACTTAAGAATTTTTGCAGAATCACGATAATACTAAACATATGCTGTTCTACAGAGTATGACATCTTGATCACTTTCAGGATGTTGTCCCCATGGGCAGCACATTCTCCCATTACTACTAGATTCAGAGGCACCAAATACAGCAAGGTCTGCTATGCAGTTAGGTAGTTATATGCACTTAAAACTGGAGTTTTTTTAGAAACACCCTGCATAATTTTCCATGTCCTGTAACAGTATCTTCGGGATCTGACTCAATTCAGACAATCCACCCACAAAGTCACAGATGCATCTATATGACAATGCTACCTTTGTATGGCATTAGGCTGGATCAAAAGTGATGGATCAGAAGTGCAACTGACTGATCAGCAACTTATCCACAAGCAACGCCCCAAGGAAGACCTCCTAACATACTGCTAATTGTCATACACATTTCTGGAGCATACTACAAGTATATCAACAATTTACAGAGTTCATTGTGAGGGAGTGCAGGTAAAAATACAGGACTACCTCCACACATTGGAGGGAAATTCACTGACTTCTTCATGCACTAGAAGGTTAAAAAATATGTGTAACCAGAACAAATGCACAGCAAACACGTGACCAGTGTTGCCAAACTGCAAAACACCTCTTGCTTGCCAGAAGACAAAACATGCTACGGAATGGAAGCGTATCCAAGTTAATGTAGTGAGAAAATGTTATAAAGCAATCTCTCTTCAGCGAGATGTAAATCACACTCAGAGTCTCCTCTGATTAAATCCTACGCCAGCTTGGCACAACCTTTAGCTCACCTGATGTGCAATTACAACGCCCATTCTCACTGGAGCACTTGGCACCATTCTTACAGTTACACCTTTGAGCACAGTCTTCACCAAATGTGCCACTCGGACACAACTCACTGCAGTCTGTGCCCCTGTAACCTGTAAGCCATAGAAGCACAATGCACAATAATGTATATATTTAGTAACAAAACTGAAAGATGCAAGATCATCACTGGACCCAGCCCTAATCAACTTAACCAATTTCATCTGAGGGAAATTTGAATCCACTTTAACATCATCTTCTCATATAATGGTCCCTGATTAATTTGCTTAGTGCAGGGTGGAGTCCGGCTTGGTCCACTCGGCATGGCGGCCACTGATTGGCCTACTGTACCTTAATGGTCCCTGATAGTCTCTTCCAACCAAAATTATTGTGTACTTCATGTCTCCATATCGGTGTTGCATGGCCAATCTATCACGTCATTCTTAATTTCATCACACCAATAATACAGTATGCACCAAAATGTAGAGTACTGAAATGAAAAGATGTCTGTTGATACCACTCTCTATTCATGTAAAGGCCCCTTGCACGACAGAACCTTCTCAAATCCTGAAGAAATGGTTCAAACACCATGTCCCTGTAGCATTCTTGGGTGACAGTAAGACCACTGCCTTCCTCAACCTCAATGAAATAGGGGCCCAATATACCATGTGCTGAGATGGCACACCATATAGTCACACGTGTACTATGCAGCGGTTTCTGAACAATAACATCTGGTCATTCAAAACCAAGGATGCGCGTTGTCTGGCGACCACTTCCATATGAGCAGAAATAATACTCAACTATGAATACTTCTTCCTCTGTCAAGAGACCCATTTTCAACAACTGCACAACACAACTTCCTTTTCACTACTGGGAACAAGTGCGGCTGGAGCTATACCCCGTCGACAAACGCACATGCGTGTTCGAGATGCGCGAGTTTCAGTATTGCATATTTTGACGCATACTGTATGAGGTGATCAGCACAAATTACAAAGTAGTTCTATGCATGATGTTCTCCATTCCCCTGTCACTTTGTATCTTTTTGGTCCACACTCTCATACACTGTTCCAGAATTCTCAATCTCTGTTCCCTCCCTAGAGTACGAAATTAACATTCACACCAACAAAACTTCTCCCTAGAATGTTCAAAATTCTCAGTCCCTGTCAAAACACTGTTACATGACACAGTATGAGATTTACCAGAAATAATCCCTAGTTCTATTCAGTTTTGGCATACATGTCAGTTAGCTGCATACCTGCTGCACAGATGCACGTTCCATTGACTGGTGAACATTGGGCATCATTCTTACAACTGCAGTGGTCACGGCAACCCTTTCCATATGTGTAGAATGGGCAGGGACGTGAGCATATCTTCCCATCCCAGCCAGGCTTGCACTCACACTCTCCTGTCCAGGGATGACACCTGCAATGCAGGGAGGCAACATGAAGCAGGACCTATACATTTCAATACTGTCACCCTGTTGTAAGAAATTAAGAGCTGCAGTGCATCATACCTAAGTTTTCATGCATCTGCCCATCTCATCCATATTTTTTCCTCTTCCTAATCATTTAACAGATTCAGTTCAATTACATATGGTATAGGTGGTATCAGAAAGTCCCTGGACTATTATTGTGAAAGAAGATAAGAATGGAAGCCAAGGTCACACTTCTGCAAGCCTACTGCATTGGTCTGCCATATGACAACGCGCTGTGAACATGCATTGTTTTTACATGAGTGCTTTCTTGACTTCGGGTTTCGCTTTGACTGTGATGGATGGCAAAATTGAGCAATGTCTGCATCAAGGTTTGCGTGACACATCTGCTTCAAAACCCTTGAAATGCTTCGCGAGGCTTTTGGAGAACATTCTTCAAGCTGCACAGCGATTTTTGATTGGCATTCACATTTCAAGGCCGGTCAAGTGTCAGTCGAAGATGACAACGAAGACTTTTTTTTAATTTGCTTAGTGGGGGGTGGAGTTCAGCTCAGTCCACTTGGCACGGTGGCCACTGATTGGCCTATTATACCTGCCCCAGGTGATTATAATGGAGAATTTGGTGGAATGAAGATTGGCAGGGGAAACCGAAGTGCTCGGAGAAAACCTACCCCAGTGCCACTTTGTCCACCACAAATCCCACTTGACCAGACCCGCGACAGAACCCAGGCTGCCGCAGTGGGAAGCCAGCGACTAACCGCTTGAGTTATGGTGCGGCCTAACGAATACCACTGCCGAACAATCCATGAGCTCACAGACACTGTTAGGATCAGTTATGAGTTTGCCAGGAGATCTTCGCAGAAAATCTGAACATACGCTTCGCTGCTTCTTCATCACAACAATGTACCCACCCACACGTCCCTGAAAACCACACAGTTTGTGACTAACAGCAACATGGTTATCATTACCCACCCTCCCTACTCGCTGGACTTAGCCCCATGATTTTGCTTTGTTTCCCAAATTGAAAATGAAACTGACAGGACATTTGGAAACAGTGTCTGACATCTAAAGGGAATCACAAGCAGTACTCGATAGCATTAAGGAAAATGACTTCCACGGTGCTTCTGATGTGTAAAAAAAAAATACGACAGGATCACTGCATACATTCCCAAGGAGACTATTTCGAAGGAGATGGCAGCCAAAATTAAGTTAAGCCAGCATTTCTTTTTTGACCTAGTCCAGGAACTTTCCAACAGCACTTTGTACAATAAAGGAAGTCATTCACAATTAATTTTTTATCTGTATAAATCTACCGCAAGCAATACTTTATCTCAAGGTCAAATTTAACTTAATATTTCTAAAAACATGGTTACTGTATAAGAAAATGGGCACAGCTATAATTACAAAAATAATGTCCGGGAAGCTTATAAATGTAATTGCTAAATGCCAACTGCTGTTTCTTCTGCTTGAAATCTGTTTAATGCATCAAGTAAGTTCTATCTGGTGCCATGGTGATCATTAGAAAAGTTATGTGATGTCACAATCTTTCTGTTTTATAACTTCAATTCAAAGATAAGTGAATGAAAATCAGTATTTTTGCTTTGCGGAGGCTTTCATGTATTTGCACTTCGATTCTGTATAGTGTGAAAAACGCTGAAGTTGTCCCTGAGCTTAATTAAGCAATACACCATGGAGGTGTAGGGTGTGGATGTACAGATCCACCTTTTCTTGACCTTGGAACTAGCTGGAGGTAAGTTATCAGTTTCACACCATGGCTGCTTTACCCTTGGGGAGAGAGCCCTCAGTACTGATTGGATAGGAAGCTGGGTGGAACCCAAAACTGGTCTGGACCATGTGGAGAAAATTCTTGACCCTATCACGACTCAAACCCTGACATACTTAAGAGTAAGGGGGGTTTAAACAAATTACAGAACCCCAAAAATAGGGACTAAGAGTGCATACAGAGCTTCATTTGCCAGACGTAATGAAGTGTAGCCATGTGAAAGCTGAATCTTTTTAAACTGAACAGAAAAAAATCTTGATTGAACATCTGTCATTCAGTCTCAAACTTTGAGACTTTGGAATAATTACGTTTGCTTTGTTCAGAAATGTGTTGACTGGCAATGCTAGTGTAAGTCAACTGGTCAACAAGATCTGTCTTCCCCCCCCCTTTCTACCCATACTGAAAAATGACATGGCCTTAAAACATAATTTTTTACAAGCAATGATTAAAACTTTTCATCAAAAAGGGACCTAATATTAAAAGGAATAAGTTGTATGCCTTAGCGCACTGTGAAAAATAGTGGGTGCTATAAATTGTGAATATGGTGAAAATAAAATTGGTTTAGAACAGAAAATTTCCATTTTTGTCTTGATTCTTAAGAGCAGTACCAGCTTTCATCATATAACTTGCAGCATCAGTCACAAAGAGCAATACGTGCTCATACTGATTGCCATTCGGCCATAGTAAATTCATGGAATTGATAACAAATTTGGAAACTGCGGAGCTATTTGTGGTTTCAAATTGCTCTACCACAAGAAGATATGGGGTAGATTGTTCATTCTTATTAAGGGATCCAACTATACAATTTGCAATAAACCATCCCTCACAATCTTGTGTTTTGTAGATTGATACTCACACAAAATTATCTTGAATCTTATCTCTAATGCTTTCAATTGTAAGATCGTAACACTGCTTCACGTAATTTTTGCGCACAGTAGATTCATCTGGCACTTTGCACTGTGTATACTTCTCTATGAAGTTTCTCAGAGTAGGACTGGTTAGTTTCCACAGAAGAATATCTGCCACTAATAAGGCTTCGCATAAAGCAAATAAAAACTGTGCAAAACTATTATTAGAAAATTCACTAAGCAATTTTTGAACAGGAGTACTTTTCGTGGATTTAATTTTAATATTCTCTTTGTGTATATTAGTGTTCAAATTCTGAAGCACTGAAAGCGTTTTTCACAACCGTTTTCTCACACGCTCAGCAATAAAGAATTCTGTTGTGCGTAATTATCATATCTCCCTCAAACTCCCGCTGATACAGCTATAATTCAGTTTTCTGACTTACTTTCACTTTCAGCATGACTACAGAAAGCTAAACAAACTTAACTACAGACTAGTCACCACTAATGTGAATGGCCCCCAGCTTCAAATGAAGAAGCGTAACGAACCTCATGGAGACTTCGTAAATAAATAAGTGAAGTCCCTTATCGGTTGAATAGTATTACGTTGATAGTGGCTACATGTGAACGCTTCTGACTAATCTCTTCACGGCCACTTTGATGGTACGCGGATGAGGCAAGTTACGAGTAGAGGGATGGGGGAAGTCCCATCCTGGGTATTGCATCAGAAACATGAATCATGACAAAATGTTGAGTCAAATATGCAACATATTCTAATACGGAAATGACAAATTGTATACCATGACTGAAAATTTGAACATAAAATTAAAAAATATATATGATAAACATTTTAAAAAGGAAATATGCAGTATATATAGAGATCTTTGAAAATATGATGCTTATTCATAAAACAGGCAAAATATGCATTTATAAGCACCATCAAACCATGTCCAAAATTTAAGAAATGAAGTAATTCATACATATATCCAAACGAGCATACTTTCTGGTTGCAAGAAAGAAATAGGCATTTGCATTAAAATCGGGTCCCTAGTAATCACACCCTGAACAGAAACAGTAACTCTTGCACTTGCCTAGTAAAAAGAGTGTAAAAGTATGACGTTTAATGTGACTCTACAGACAGCCAGGCCAATAAATTACTGCCTCACTCAGAGGTTTTAAATACATAAGTAAAATCACACTGCAACATTCTAAAACTCACATATCTGTATTATCAACAATACACTGGCACACTGATGAGCATGTGGGCCCAAAGAGTCCATCAGGACAAGCCCGTGTGGAGCAGTTACGTCCCTTCCACCCCTGTGTGCAAGTGCAAGTTCCATTCACAGGATCGCACGTTGCTCCATTCTTGCAGGTACAGTTGTTGGAACAGTTGGCACCAAACTTTCCTTCTGGGCATGACTGCAGACACTGTAAAAAATAACAACAATCAGTGTCTTTAAGGTATGATCAGTGCAGGAAGTAACTTAACGGGATATGACATCTGCCATCTGCCTGTGTATGACAGAACACCAGTGCTCCCAATGATCTGTAATTAAATTTTATACTGATAACTTCAACCAAACAAATGCTCAATAGTGATGCTCTCAGACCATTTTTGGTTAAACAGAATGGTTACCTAATGTGAAGCCCAATATAAACTTCATGTGTTAATCTCATAAAACGCTTTGATTAGAAGTTACAAAATTTAACAAAGTAAAATACCAAACATTATGATCACTTTTACATGACAAGCTATTTAAAAATATTGATAAAATGTGCCACTGTACACGCTATAAGTGTGTGTACGTGGGTATGGGATTTGAGCAGTTGTTGCTTCACACTTCCTATTTCCACAGCATTTTGGCATACAGATCTCCTTGATGTCCTCTGTGTACCACGGATTCCTTTACATGTCTATTCACTTCACTTTGGTCTACGCTTCCTGTTCCTCTCTGCCAGCATCCAATTATATATCTTCTTTGACTACAAACTTTCCTTCATCCTCTGCAAGTGTCTGTAACATACAAACCCCTTATACTTGACAGTTTCAGTGAGTGATCCTTCCACTCCTATTATCGTCTTTAGTAACTTCTGGTTCTCTGAGATCTTGATGCCCCAAAAGAGCTTCTCCAATAATCAGTCTCTAAAGCGTTAAGCTTGGCTTTATTACCTTTGTTAACCTCCCATGTTTCAGACCCATATATGGAAAAACTACATATAACTGCCTTCATCATTATTACTTTATCACTTCATAACACAGAGGTGATTTCCCTAGCGGCTCTCTTCCCGTGATTAATTTTATTATTTGGGGGGGGG